TAGGACATCATAGATTCTAATTTCTCGAAAAGTTATTTATAAAACGTATGCCGGAAGATAAAGTTTTTTGATATCTGATATAAATCAATCTCTGTTATCATAAGCGTGTTATGACGTTCGATTTTCAACGGATGTGGAATCGATTTTTAACTGATGTGTCGATAATAAACGTCGTAAAAGAACTTAATTTTCAGATTAAATTTGGACAATTAAATAAATCGAGCAATCCTATCCAATATTTTACTTCTGACTACTATCAAAAATGCGAATATTCAGATGGATGGATGTATGTTTCTTTGAAAGTATTTTCAGAACGGCGGCATGGATCTCGCTGAAATTTCGCATAAATGTAGAACATAACATGAAAGGACACATGGGCTACTATTTAAGTCTTTTTTTAATTACGAGCAGACAGAGTCGTGTGCGACAGCTGGTTCTTCGTACAGCTTCTACGTATTAGTTCGTCTACAATTCTAGAACATATTCTCTAACAAACCGAATGTTTACATCGATCGATACAGTCGTGAGTGGTTGTTTATTTATAACTAATACTAAATATTACAACACACAAGGGTGTTTGCAGATAATGTCTACACGGTTCGCTACATTGAGGCGATGACGCGTAAACGGCCGTGACGGAGACGTCCTCGCCTCTGCCCGACCAGAACGCTTCTGGATTACGTTACTAACTAATCGATCATCCTACCAATCAAGCGGAATAAATAAAAAACGTAGATTCACTTATTTAACACTCCTTGTATAGAAGTTACACTATGTTATCAACACGTAAGTCTGTCTGTCTTACTAATCTTACTACTATTATAAATGCGAATGTTTAGATGTATGGATGAATGGAAGTTTGTTTGAAAGTATCGCCGGTACGGCTCAACGGGTCTTAATAAAATTTGCCACAGATGTAAAACATAGACACATAAGCTACTTATTAAGTGTTTTTTATATCCCCGGACGGAGTCGCGGGCGATAGCTAGCGCTAATATAAAACGTCTTAATTAGTCTGCAGTACATATAGCCACCGATAGGTTCGAGACTATTCTCCATTAGGTGATTAGGCCTTAGTCAACCATACTTTCTATTATGATATGCTTAAGGTATTCTTTAATCGTAATCTACATATGAAATTAGTACGGCACGTTACAATATCTAAACGTATGAGTCAGCCCTTATCGTCAGCAATATAGTAATTGTGTCTAAAAATAAATATGTAATAAAAACGTTTATCAAAATATTAAAAATTTCTGTTTTGTTGCTAAAAATGCCGTTTATCGTGCATTTAAAATCCGGTTATTCAAGGCAAATTTATCGTACGTTTTGACAGCTGTATATAAATAATTTCAAGATTAAATTGATGAAATACCTGCATACAAAGATAAATGGGATCGTATAGTATAGATAACAATGTTTATTTCAGTTCATAATTTAAAAGAAAGGAAAAAGTCGTAGATTACCAACAATGGGTATACATTGGACAAAGACCTAAAACCGTGAATCGACGATCCATCTGTGATGTTAAAACTTTTTTGGTCGTATCGATGATCTGATATATTTTTTCTAATATATTATAAAAATCTTTACAATTCAACAACAATTATTATCGTAGTAGCTGTAGCCCGCGACTCCTTCCGCGCGGATTAAAAAGAAACTTAATTTGTTCTTGTAGACTATGTCCTACACCTACGACAAATTTCAGCGTCATCCACATATCCGTTACGGAGATACTTTTTAACAAACGTCCATCCGAACATACAAATATTCTCATTAATAATATTAGTAAGATTCATTACTACACTGATGACATCTTACTCAAGTTTACATTTATTACAGACACACAATAACAATCTTTCACGATACCATTATTCTAATGTTTTGTTTGAAGTAAGCCTTACGTATGAATACTATACGTGTTTAGGTTTTACACACGTGGTGAGTTCATATATGATGCTTTAGCACGGTGTAGTACAAAACCACTGACTAATCTTCAAAAGTATATCAACAACTCGATAATCGTGACTATAATATTGACAGTTTTAGAATTACAACACGTTCAAACTGTTGGCAAATCGCTACGTTACATACCTTATATATGATTACACAATATAAAAAATCTTTTTCTCTAATAAATCAACCATTCAATCAATCATTAACTATTAAAACACAATTAACACAAACATAAATCAACGCAACAAGTTCTAGCGTAACTCGATATAAAATATACGGCGTTCTTTCGTTGACGAAGCGGAGAGGCGTGGCTCGTACGTATTAATTAATGTTTTGAATTAACGCGTGCCGGTTGTTTGAATCAATAAAGCAGTTGGAACAGGGTCGTAGACGCGGCGAGGTGAGCGACCGGCGTATTGGCGCGATTATTCCGGCTGCCGGCTTATCGCATACGTCACACTCGATACAACTGGACCGCGCGGAATGGCATGACCAAAGCGAAATTCTCGCGCGCAAACTTGTATCTATTTCTCTCAATGTTCAAACGCTATCAATACGCCTAGCACAAGAAGATATATGTAATAAAAAAAATGTAATAAAAAACTTATATGTGGTGGAAAAATGTTTCGTACACATCATCATAAGCTCTTTCTCTACCAGCAGTTATATGGTAGTACACTTTTGTTCGTACATTGCCAGTGCGTATTAGTGACTGTCGCCCGCTACTCCATCAGCGCGGATTTAAAAAAAAACTAATTAGTAGCCTATGTGTTCTTCCAGACTAAATGTATGCTACGTTTCATCGAGATACGTTCAGTTCGTTCTAGAGATACCTTCAAACAAACAATCATCCAACCATTCGCCTTTATAATATTAGTAAGATAAAAGAGGCTGTCATTTGTTTTTCCAATCTGCCTTGTACTAAAAACGAATGAACAGTTTTACAAGAATTACCTGTTTCTTCAGAAATACGAATGTTAAATAAATTATACTCACAAATAGCTATTCGATAAGCATCTTTTTAAATCGATGAGTAACGGTACGAAGCGTTTACATTCTCGTAGAGTTGGAAACATTTCGCAACAAAATGATTCATTGATATTTCTTAATTAAATAAGAAGATACTCGACTTCTGATCGAAACTGCCGTTATCACTGTAGACCAGTTCAATGACATATTTAGAAGTCAACATCATTAAGGATATCAAATGCAAATTTATATAGTCCGAGTATATTACTTTTTGACTCTATTTTTTTATAAGAGAGGGGGACAAAAGAGAGGCGGAATCACCGAAGTGATCAACGACACCCATGGACATCTGCATCACCGGAGGAAATGCAGATGTGTTGCGTTGAATGCATAAAATAAAATAAACGTCGACATTAGCTTAAAATTCTAATTCTGTAGTTGTCTGTGGGGTTGTGTTGTAAAAATCAAAACTGAACCAAATCAAATTTTCTTTCATTAACACAATAATATGGTTTATATATAAATATTTAACGCATCGCATTAAATACAGAATGCTTGTAGGTGATATATATTTGAAATATAAATGTTTATTAAGATTTTGACCGGCGGACCGCCAAATTACACATAACAGTGGCTTAGCGGAATACTATAACGGTTTAAAAAAGAGCCAGCATTAAATTGTCGTGAAACCATTAGTAAAATTATACTTTTAGTAATGCCTTCACGAGCATTTCTTATATTACTGTTAGATCACACACACATAGAAAAGTTTTAGTATTTTTATCTCTCAAAAAACTGATACAGATTTTTCCAAAACTAAAGAATAACTCAATGGTTTTAATGTCTTTTCTTAAAACAAAATTATACTATTACATATTTCGATTAGTCATCACTAAAGAAGCTAACAAGTTAAAACTCGCTTCGCACCCAGACTATGTGTCAGAGTACAAAAAAGATACGACGAATCGTACTAACGAAAAAATTATAACCGCTTAATAAAATTTAAATTAACAAAAACAATATTCATTTAATGCATTGTCACTTTACAGATTTCTTAGGGAATCTTTTATACTACGATCTGCTATTACATGATTGCCAAATCTACATAATATATGGAATTTTTATCAAGCATGATAAAACAATTTAAATGCTTGTTATAATCATAATAACAAAAACTACGCGCAATATTTGTAACGTATCGTAGTGACCTTGAACAATGTAAGTCATTAATATGCATACTATTGACAAATTATGTCACACGGACAAGGTTATTGCCTTTATCACTCAGATAATGAGTCTTTGGCAAAATCTACAAAAATAAAAAAATAAAAACTATTGAGACTGTAACGGATATAACTAATGTATCAGTTTTTTGATAGATTAATTAATTTGTTAGTAATTTCGCTGCGTTACAATTTAATAAAGCAAAACTCATTTCTTTAGAACCTACATAATTTTTACGTATCCTACGGTTGGTTTCTGAGACCACTGTTCTGTATAAAACATATCGTCATTCCTGTTCCATCTTCGACAAACCAGAGATAAAATCATATGTTTTAAACAGTGATTATGACTTCAGAAACCCAATGTTATTATTACAGTTTTATGCGTTAATAATTTCAAATAATAATTAGAACTAGTACCGATCTGCACAATAAAAATTCTATGAGACAATCTACTATCGAATATAAATAAAATACTGTTACGTTTTACATTATATAAGCCAAGATACTTTATAATTTACTTATTCAAGCAGAACACTAACCTCCTACAATTTAACTACAAACGGTATAAGTTAGCGTAACCGATTGTAACAATTGTAGCAGGTAAACTGTATTTGTTAAACCATAACAATCAAAGTTAGAAATCAATTTAAAAATATACAAAATATTTCATATTAAAATAGAACTTTAACATGACGATGATCTTTAAAAGTACTAAAATTAAAGTCTAATTTTACCGAAAAAAAAATTAATTTGAAAGAATTAACGCACAAAAATCAATGAATTTCTGTTCAATGTTTGTGTAATAAATTGTTAGTCACCCGCCACCATAGAATATTTCTAGTAACTTACCGTCACATGTTGCTGCCATGAATTTTCCGTTTGCTGAGAAATCCATATGAAGCACGTTGCCGGGGTGACCTTTGAGATTCTTCAGTAGCCAGGGATGTGTGAACTCCGATTTTCCCTTCCATTGAGCACGTTTCTTGCTTTTACTTGGCCGGCTCTCGACTTGCCTTGCTTCAGAGACGGCGTCGTCTACGTGAGCACCTGTAAAATAAAAAACAGAACAATAACAGTTTTATTAAAAGAATAATTTTTTATTCTATTGCTAAGTTGATGCTTAATCCAAGAAATAAAAGACATAATTATGTAATCTGCTTTGCAATCGTCTTTTCTGTCGTTTTTCTTTTAATTTTTTTATGAAAATATCAGTTGGCTAACATTTTAATGATTCTTAGACATTTTTATTGAAATAAGAATATCTGCAATAAGCAATGTGGGTAGGTATCAAAACGGATGTAGAGCAGATGAGATTAAATGCACGTGAATATGAATCACTAATATCGGTTTTTTACTAATGATTCACTGATTTATAAGAATATATTTTCGAAAGGAGCATACTTTTTTTATATTTTACGTATACGGACTTTTAAATTCAAAAATTATCAAGTATCATTGAATACATTTGAATTACTATAATATTTTATTACTTTACAATATAATTTAAAGTTATTTGTATTAAAAGTGTATAATTATTAACGTTAAATAGTTAATTGAATAAGCGAAAAGATGCCACTTTATTGCAATAGTATGTTTGTAATCACACATACTAATAAAATATTCCAAAGGAATTTTATGAAATACAATCAACACGATGCATATAAAATATCTTTAAACATTAAACAAAGAACATTAAAACAATTCTATTACACAGATTAATAAACAAGCAATATTTACTGTAAACACAATAAAGTAAATGCGCAAAAATCAAAACGTATGTAAGATAAGCGTGCGTATTGTCACGAAACAATAGTGTAACTATTGTTGAACAATATGTACAAACTATTATGTTTATTTTATTACCAACATATTGTACAATTCTGAAGCACTGTAAATTGTATGTGCCGTTAAATGTACTCAATTTGATCAAACAACGGTCATATTATTATTACACTACTGACCTAGTTAATATATTAAATTATAGAACTATTTGTTAAACCTGTGTTGGATTTCAACTCGGATTCTATGGAGCCTTTAAGGATAAAGTATACTTATTTATCAACAAAAAAGTACAAAATTTTTCCTGCACACACACACAAGACAATTCCTACCATTATTATTTTCATTTATCATGAAGAAAAATGAGAGGCAAAAATATAACATATACTACAGTCTGTCTACAGACATGCATTCACTAAAACAATTTATTTTACCGCAAACCACATATTGATATGATAACCGGATGGACATATCTATTTGGTCTGTGAGTGTTATTTCTAATCTTACTAATAGTATAACTGCAAATGTTTGGATGGTTGTTAGAATGTAACTCAAGAACAGCTGCATGGATTTTAGTGAAATTTGGTATTGATGTAAAATATAGTATGGAAGAACACATGTGGTGTTACTTATTAAGATTTTATTAATGCCGCCTGGACAGAGCCACAAGCTGCAGCCTGATATTTATAAATGAATAATTGATTCTTATAATACTCCTATAACCCATAGAAGAAGGCAGAGACCAAGGACCTCCATTTGGCTCAGTCCTGACTCATCACGCTTCTTTTACATTCATCTTTGTCTACATCAAATACATTTTTAAGAAACTATCATTTACATTTATTACAAATCATAATTTTTTATATACATCTAAAACAGAAAAAATTTAGGAGATTTTATATTTAATTGTAATAATGACCCATGAAATTTCAATAATTTTACTACAATTGATCCAAGTAAAATAGTCATGAAGTTATTCTATGTGTAAATAACTGAAACTTTATTATTTTTTAGCTTGATAGACATTTTAGCATTATTCACAAACAAAGCTAGTGGTATTCTATAAGCAATGAAATACAAAATGGAAGGTATATCTTAATAAAATAAGAATGATTGCAAAAGGAACTATCCCATCCCAAGGGTAGCAATAGAATTTTTAAGGTTGGTTTAATAGAACTAGTGCTTTACAAGTAGATAAGATTTTGATTTGTATATGCAAAGATTTTAAAAATATAAAATATAACAATGACAAAAAATTACATTTTCAGAATAATTTGTCAAGAAGAAACATTGCATGCGTAAATATTACACTCGGTTTTTCGTGTGTGATAAATTTTACAATGACCTTTTTTACCTTCAAAGCGTATTTATTTATCCAGCTGTGTTCCCACATAAATTTAACTTAGAAATAAAGAATGCATGACACACAGGTATATTTATATACAAATTATGACTAAATAGCATTTTTACTGTATAAAATTGTCATAACAAATAGTTCTAATATTATTCCTAATATTTTATTGAATTAATATTAAATTTCCAACTTTTATTTAATCAGCGGTCATTGTCATACACTGTACTACAGTGCTTTTTTCAAACACGAGGTTTTCGAAGTTCACAGAAAACATTGCACATGCACCAATTTTTTTTTATTCATGTACTTATTAAAAAAAATTGGTGAAAAATACACAAATTAAAATTTTGTGTTATTCTTAAAAGTCTATTTTTAAAAAGGAAACCTACCTGAATCGCTCTCTGTAGTTAGCGATGCATCTCTTTTCGTAGTGGAGAAGATGGCTTTATATACTAAGTGTAATATAAAACATAATAAGATCGTAAGCCCGCCGATGAGGAACATATTCAGATTTTGACCGGCTTTTATATCCTCCATTTTCACTCAAAAAGTCGTAAATACAATCGCCGATATTGTACTTATTTCACGATAGTCACGCGGCTTCAAATCACTAAACGCGCAACGAGGTAACGAAAAATTGAACTAAGCTGAGTTGCTGAGTGAATTATAGACCTAGTGAATGAGAGGATAAACTGTACCTGGCAATATGTTTGACAGTGATTTGCCGCGCAATTTAAATGTATGATGTGTTTCGTTTTACGCTAACTTTTTACTAAGGTAAATAAATGGAGGAATTGAGAAATCTTTAACTTAAAAGTTAACAATGGCCTTTATGCTGTTCTTAAAACTTATCTCACATTTTACGTTCGAAAAATAAAAAAAAAATATGTATTTCGAACAAATAAATCCAAAAAGTATAAAAATAAGTTACTGTTTATTATTATTAAATACTTTACTTTATAGCCGAATATGTTTTCAAAAAATTGAGAATGTGAGGTTTGTTTATTTTCATATATTTTATGACTGGCTGATTCTAATTACACGTTGTTTTCTATAAAGACGTCAAAAACGTTTGCCTTCCAATACGTCTAACTGTGCTATCAAACATTAAATTTTAAATTATTTAACAGAAAAATGTAATATTCAAAATTTTCAAACTTTTACACAATGCCACCTAACAGAAGCAAGTAAGATTTTTATGTCTTAATTAATATAACATAAAATATTAATTTGTAAGTTTGTTTAACTATCACTTTTCTCGATCGAGTAAATAACCTACATAATACGTGAACATGTGGATATTGTAATGTAGCAAGTTTTGTTAACATTATTTATAACTTTTCCCCTATTTTGGAGTAATCTTAATCAGGTTTTGTTGGGTACAAATTATTTTATTTTTATTATCTGTATTCTTTTTGTTTCTTTTCGTTGACATAAAATCTTTCTGTTGTTATCTGTGACGCGTTGAAAGATAGAGATAGAATGATTGATCAACACGTGAAACGGTAAAATATAAATGTCATATGTGAGACAAGGATGATTATACTCTGTTATTTCATATTTAAAATTTCTAGAAATCTATAGAACATCAGAACGACGACATTCATTCATTTTAATCATTGACAAGATATTGTGATCTTGACAATTCGTATTGAAGCTTACTGTGAAACGCTTCCATTGCGATAGTTTTTATTTCAATTTATACTCGAATTTATTAACAAAATGCCACGAAGAGGACGTTCAGCAAGTCCGCCACCAGCTCCACAGCGGCGGTAAGATAAATATCTTAATTCTGAAATGTGTTGAAAAAATCAAACGACATCGGTGATAACCTAACTTTACCTTAATTTTTCAGAGCTGCGCCACCACCGAGCAATGTGCCCGCTCATGCACCTCCATCAAGCCCGGGACCTGTCCATGCTCAACCTCAACAGCCTTCATTATTTGGTCAGATGGCCGCAACCGCTGGTGGTGTCGCCGTAGGATCAGCGGTGGTATGTACAAGAAATTACGTAACGTAAATATTAGACCTGTAAATATTCCTTTTTTGTTCATAAATTTATATTACGCAACTTTTCTAGTAAATTTCTAATACATTTAATCAAATTTCTCGAGTCTAATTGGCTTAAGGCCAAGTTTTTGTCCTATGTTATTATGACGCTAGAAGTAAATAAATTTGCGTAATATTTATGTCACTTCAATATTGTTTTATGCTAATTGCATTTGTAATCGATGAATAATTATGTGTAGGATGTTTTTTGTCTTTTAGTTTCATGTCTTAAAGAAAAACAAGTACAAAATTTTGGCTTTTTTCTCTTCCAATTAATTTTAAGTGAGTGCCTTGCCGGACTTAATGTACTTTGAGATCAATTTGGCCACAACATTTTATAACTTTTGACGTAGAGCATCAATAGATCTAAAGTCCAGACAAACAACAATATTTTCAAATTGATATGCTTTAGCTATTATATTTTATCATTCTAGCTTATCTTTTTTTGGGCTCTAAACAAAATATTCAGCTAACATTTATTACTTCTTTGTACACCTTATATAATATAAGCATGACTGATTTTTTTAATATGACATTATTACTGTACTGTAGTGGTTTACCTATTAACAGCCGAAAGCAATATTCAATCCTGGAGATTGACCGAAAATCAATCATTTAGTTTGCAACAAAGTTCAACAATTATTTGATTGCCTTCTAAAGTAAAATGAATCATGCAAACAAGATCCTTACCTTTTCCTAATATTACCAATGTCTGATATTACTAAACATGTTTGTTACAGGGACATATGGCTGGTAGTGCTCTGACTGGGATGTTCAGTGGTGGCAGCAGTGAGCCAGCACCACAGCAGCAGGCACCAGCAGCCCAGCCTGTGTACAACCAGGCCCAGCCTCCGCAGGGACCCTGCGCTTGGGAGATCAAACAGTTTATTGAGTGCGCCCAACAACAGCATGACCTGTCACTCTGTGAGGGATTCAATGAAGCTCTCCGCCAGTGCAAAATCAACAACCACATCTAATTCGTTAGATTCCTAGAAGGCCCAACTAATTAAAATTATTCTATTCATATTTCTTTCGGCAAAAGGTTAAAAATGCTGTGTTTTATTAAATTGTTACTATACTAGACAAATTATGGGGCACCTTCTTTAATTTATAGTGAAAAAGGGACAATACAAGTTAAATAGTAGTAAATTGTTAGTGACTTTATTTTATTAAATATATTAATATTTTATTTAAGACATTATTGTGATGTAGATTTTTAATTTCACTTGATCAATTATGTTGTAAATTTGTAGAAAGTTAAATACAATCCATAAACCAAACCAAATTCGTATTTTATTTTTCCTTAACCTTTAAAAACTTTTTTCTCAAAAATCCGCAACAAACACTTATTTCAGAAGTTTTTAATTCTGTGAAAGAGAATGATTTGTGCTATTACTATTCTTGTGTATGTATGATACAGGAGCCGTTACTCGCGGTCGCAAACGCGTGCGCCTGCGCACCCGCCGCAGATCGTGGTGACTCCGATGCCGCGCCGCTCCGTATTTCGGGACGCGGCCGCCATTGCGGGAGGCGTTACTGTCGGCACCGCTGTGGTATGGCAAAATACTTCTACTGTATAAAAAGTTTTTCTTCTATTCTGTATAGAGTCAGAGCTTCAATAGATGTTAGTCGTCTCTGCCTAAATTATCAATATTTAAGTGGTCCATCCATCTCTTCCTAGGCCGTTCCCTTTACACATTCATGTTTAAAATTTTGTATCGGTTTTAATGCTCCCTTAACCCGCTCATACCATGATATCTTAGCAAGTGTAATATGTATTTTTGAAATAATTTGACTATGTTTTAGGGTCATGTAGCAGGTGAGGCAATAACGAGCCTGTTCAGTGGTCCGCGGCGGCACGAGGTGGCGGAGGCGCTGCCGCGCGGCTACCAGCCCGGCGCAGAGCCCAGTGGGCCATGCGCCTACGAGATCGCACAGTTCCTGCACTGCGCCACCAACAGTGCCGAGCTCACAGAGTGCGCCGCATTCAACGAAGCACTCAGGGAGTGCAAGAGACGAAATAGTAAATTAATCTTTAGATGTTAAAAAAGAGCCAGAAGCTGTTGCATAAATAGGCCGAATCATGGTCAGCCAGTGAAAAAAATAGGACTAAAATATTTCTTCAAATGTTCCTAACGTATCCCTGAACTCTACGACTAATTTTAAATACAATTAAGATTTTATCATAGTATATTCCTTTGTTTCAGATATACCGTAATCTCCTGGTTTGACAGTATGAAACGAGACCCTCAAATATAAAAACAGAAAAAAATTACATAGCAAATAGTAACAAAATTTATGAATAAATACAATACAGTAAAACGTAACTAGTTTTATTTATGTTTACTTATTTAAAACATATAGGCCTAAATTAGTAGTTCAATAAAACTCATGGAATACAGGTGTATTTATAAACTTAATTTATTTACACCATAATACATACACATTGTGACGTTTCTTCCTTATAATCAAAAATTAAATTTCGAGATTGGTGATAAGCTGTTAGAATTAAACATTCGAGACATATTCGGATTTTTAGAAATGTTCAAAACACTGAGCTCTATACAGGACAGGCTATAAACCGTGGTATTTTGTGCTCATTTGAATTCAGCCATTTTGGCGCTGTCGGTTGTGGTGGTGAGGATTGGAACTAATAATTGAACTGTCAGGAACTTCAACAGGCGCGTTTATGACGGGACGAAGAAAAAGCTGTATATTCCTAGTGTAATGACCTATCCAATTATAAAGATCAGTGGATTGAAAAAATAAAAATATGGGATGCAAATATTTTATATCAGATTTTTTGCTTTACTATAAATATTAATTTTGGCACGACGACATAACAAGCCAGATTCCAATTAGTTCAAATTAATTAAAAAAACAATTCATTCAGAATAAATATACGACCGAGAAAAGACATTTCTTTGGATTAAACAATATATTTTCATCAAGTACTGACCACGAACATTGTAACAAACAACGAATCATAAAATTCATAAAACATGGAACAAATTTTGTAATATGATAGAAACTAGAAACCATTTTCAACATCGGTTAAAATGACATGGCGACCAAAACTGTTGCTTCCGGTTGAACGCCTAAAACAATATTGATTAAAACTACCACTTCATGTTTCAATGTTTTCTGTCCATTGATGTCGTTTTAACAGGTATATACTACGATTTTTTTAATAAGTTGCCAATTTGAGCTAAATTAAACTTGTAACCAGAGATATTAAAACTTATATATTGGACGAAAACCTATCAAAATTGTGACTGGAAACATTAAAATCCATTTTGTGACAAAACTTGCTATTCAGACGTTATTAATAAAAATATTAATAAACTTAATAATATCTTTATATTATTTACAAATAAAAATGCATTTCAAATGAAATTCGGTGTAAATATTTACGGGTTCGTTTTGTAATAAATCGAAAAGTTTGTTCGATCGAGATGTCGTTTATTCGTCTTATTACAATTCAACTAATAATACATTTCAACGCTTACGCTAAATCAGTCTAATTCTTAAAGCGACAACATGTCTAAGAATAAAGCTTAAACGAATGCCGTAAATCGTACACTGGGAATTTCAATATCAAAATAAGGCCACTAATATTTCAAAGGTTAAAAACCATTTAACCTGCTCTCAAATAAAATATACAAATATAATTAAATTAAACAATTTACAATGAACATTTAAACAATTGTCTATACATAATTAATCTATGTTAATATGGCGGTTCATTAACAATAACAAACTCGTAATAATGATAAAAAAATTACATTACAATGATTGTAAATTTCATTTTTTTAAAGAACAATTTGCAAATATGCAAATAAGTAACTTTCAAAAAATGCAACAAATGCTATGCAGATACAATAGTACAATCAGTAAGAAATATATATTAACTTCCTAAATATTTTATATATGGACGATATTCTGTTACATATACGAAGAAAAATAAATTCGTGTATTGGATTCTGGTTTTATTTCATTTACAATTTCTTTTTGCATATAATTTTGTCTATTCCGAAGCTAACATACTTCACTTCAATAACTGTTCATTTAATAACATTTCAATATAATTAAACACAAAAATAATGCACCTGTTTGTAAATATGTATAATAATAGCGTTTGTAGAAGGCCGTCTGTGTAATGAAGCACAACATCGAATAATTTAAAGCTTATCACATTACTTACACTGAGTGTAAATTTTTTAATTTTACATAAATACTCTTCATTATACGCAAGGCGGCCACGGACAAGTAATTATAATCGATTAGCACAATAACATAAATCAATTCTTACACTACAACGATGGAATTTATACAATATTATACATTTTATTTACAACATATGACACACTATTTGCATCAATTGCCGATAAAAAGCTATAGTATAAGATATTGGAGACGGTACATGAATGAGGTCACAAGCGCATCTCCCACAGTATGAGGTGTGCGTCTTTGGGGTTGGGGTCCGCGGCGGGTGCGGGGCGCTCCGCGGCGTCCGCGGTCTGCCGCCAGTCCACGTACCCGCGCCCGCCCGCCACCGTCACCACGGACCGCCGCGCACCACACCCCATCACGTAGTCCGCGCCCCGCAAGCTTCGCCCTCCGCTCCGCTCGCCGCTCCCCTCGCGCTTGCCGTTCGTCCTCACCTCCACTGCGTTGGCTGAATCACTCCGGGAGATGGAGCGCTCCGAGGTGGACGATTTACTCGACGAGGAGTCCGGCGTGGACGCTGCGAGGGGCGCCAGGTTGGCCGCGCCCGACGCTCCCGAGCTGGTTCGCGAAACTCCGCGCAACGCCATCGACTCTTCGCTGCCGGACGACGTGCACAGACTGGAGGCTCTTGAGTCTACCGACCAGCTGGACAGGTCCAGACTCCGGGGGCGGCCCGCGCGCATGCGCAGCCGCCGATCCAGCGTGCTCACGCGAAAGGGTATCGCCGCCAGCTCGGGGTCGCTTCTCCGCAGCGCCTCGCCGCCCGAACCGTTCACGTCGGCGTCACCCACGCAGTCTTTCACAAACATCAGGTCCCCGAAGAGACCGTAGACGTCGCAAGCGTTCAGGTTGGCGCACTTGGGCAGCGTTTTGCTGAGGCGCACGTCGCCAGGCTTCTTGCGGCGCACGACGGCGGACTGCACCCGCTGGGGGCGGTACGGGCTGGATTCCTCCGATATCCTCCTTTCTAATTTAGGTTTGTCCAAATCCTTAGCCTCCTCCTCCTTGAACTCCTGGAGGGTTGTGTCCGCTAACGCACGAGCGTTTGAAAGATTCCGGCGGACCACGTTGACGTCCATCTCTCGGTTTTCGGGCAGGAGAGAGAGGAGGAAAGTGACGGGCCCGGCGTGCGCGTGATACGACACTGCGATGTGGCCGCCTATCAGAGGGAGACCCTCCAGCTTGGGCAGGGGTACGGTGACGCTGACGCCGGCCGTCGTGCCCACCCACAGCAAGCCCTGGCTCGCGAGCAGAGCGGACACGTAGGCCGGCTTGCTGCCCTCCCGAGCTCCGATAGTCTTCGCTACGTCAGCGGCGATATCAATATTTTGCAGATGCTCGAACGTCTCGGCGTGGTAGAGGCTAACGTATGTGGAATCGGAGAAGGCCGTCCACAGACCGACGCCGGAATGAGCCAAGTACTTGACCGATCTATCGCCTTCTCCTTTCAGTTCGAGGATGCGCATTATCTCGGCGGTGAGCGCGTTGATGGCGAAGACGCGTCGGGCGCAGGTGGCGTAGACGATACCGTCGACGGGCAGGACGCAGTGGACGGGCTGGTCGCCGAGCTCGATGGCGAGCGGCTCGTGCAGGGCCCAGGAATCGTCTGCGGCGCGCCGGTACACGGCGAGCCGGCCATTGGCAAGGCCGACGAACATGGCGTCGCAGTGGTAGCGCACCTGCGTCACGCCGGCCACCGTCTGCACCTCCGTCAGCTTCTCCTGCTTCTCTGGCTCCACGCCGGAGAAGATGATGATCTTCTTGTCCTCGGTGCCGAGCCATACCGTGTCGCCGCACAGCGTTGTCACTTGTCGTACGCCTTTCGCATACTCCATTGAAGTAACCTGTAAATACCAAATACAGTGTAAATATTCATCCGGGAAACAGATTACTCATCATTAAAAATGTCGATCACTATTTGATTTTAGAAATCGTGACAATGCGATGTTTACCTGTGTGTCGGGCAGGTGCAGCGTGGCGAGGGTCTTGAGGCTGGCGGCGCGCTGTGCCAGCACGGCCACGTGGCTGTGCTGAGCGCCGCCCGCACACACCCATAGCAGAGAGCGCGCGCGTCGAGACGCCGCCCCGCCCCCTGCGCGCGTCCCACCCCCGCCTCCAGCCCCGCCCACACCACCACCGCCGCTCACGTAGAAACAACCGCAACGCACCTGGAGTACAACGTATTAAATGATCCTTTTGAATATATTTTAATTAGCTTCACCTTGCGAGTAATTATTTATTATTATTGAATAGTCTCTAAGGAAGAACAAAGTGGTTAAGATGTACCTCAGTGAGTTGTTTGGAGGAGTATACGGGCGTGGTAGCGACATAGAGGGGCACACTATGGTGCGGTACGGGATGGGGCAGACGCCAGGCGGGCGAGTTGGCGGCGGCCTGTGCCAGCTGGGCCAGGCGCAGCTCGGTAGCCCACGCTAGCCGCGCGCCGGGCTCGCGCGCACGGAAAGTCAGCGGCTCCTCGCGCCCACGGATAGTCAGTTGTAAACAGCACGAGTCCACCCAAGCCATCTCGTCGTCTTTTTTCTGTGGAAACAATAATTAATCATTAATTAAATTACTTCGACAAAAAAAGCTAGCTCGTTTATATACGTTGCATTTTGTTTGTGTATTATGTTTTATGTAAGTTTCCAAATCTTTAACAACTGTTGGTATAATGTTTTTCAGATATCTTGGTGGCTCGACAATATTTTAGATATTTCGGGATGATATGGAGGGAGGGCACTGCCAGCGCGCCGATGACCCCAACATCCCCCAAGTTGGGCTCGTGAGATATATATAAAATAATATCTGAACATCTATTTAAGTTAAGTTAAAGTAAAAAAATTGGACGTGCGATATGGTTAATGTATACCTGTATACTCTTTTGTATATTCTGCAGCAGTGCTCGGAACATGTCAGGCGCTAGTTCAGGGTATGGCGAGTGCAGGGAGGCGGCGAGGTCTGCCATACGCGACACCGCCTCGTAGTCGTGCATCAGAGCAGACATCTCGTTGCACAACGAGTCACCGGTGGAGGTCGAGGTGTTGCCCACACCGTTGCTAGAGTTAGAACGCAAGCTGCCGCTGCGGTTCATACCTAGAAATATAATTATAGATAGGTTTATTTTTTATGTATAATGCAAATGAGTTAGAAATCAAGTTATATTCCAAAATATTATAGATATAAATTGTTATAAAGAAGTAATATGCATAAGAGGGCAAAGACGCACTTGTACATACGCCATTGTTAATAAATCGTTGGCTTCTTAAACCAAAATCCCTCAATATACTATTATATTATCTATGTTTCGTCAAAAACGACGTATTGATGATGTTGACGGTATGTTTTATACAGTGGTTTAAGTCTCAGAAACCAACGATAAGTGTAGAATACTCTCTAGTAAAATTGCTATTCGATTTACGCAGGCGCTAATATTATTTTTTGAAACAGTGTAGATATTTTTTAATAGCTGTAATCAGTGTTATTAATTTATTTGTTAACAACTCATTTGTATACTGACCCTGCGCTAGTACCCTGCTGAGTGTGGGCGAGGTGCCAGTGTCGAGGACATCAACGTCGTGTACAGGGTGTGCCCACTTGAGGCCCAGGCGCTCCGCGTCCCCGCCCGCGCCCACAGACACGCACACCACCAAATCGTTCAGGAGCAACAGTCGACGCGGCTTGCACTTCGTTAAAGCTCCAGATTGATTGAACTCCTGAACAATACAAAACACATTTTTAAATTTAATAAACTTCGTAGATTTAGGTTTTGATTGAGGTAATAATAACAGTTACCGTAGGTTTCTGAGATCAAAGTCTTTGTATAAAAATTTCCCTTCCTGTAATTGATAAAACAGAGATAACAATGATTTAAATGTATATTTTGGACTCAGACTCCCACGGTTAATCGTTGTACAAGATTTGAATTATTTTTTGGTAGAATGTTATTAATTTAGACTCATATTTGTTATGTTTAATGAGTAAATGACCTTAACTCTCATTTGATTTTACTTTCAGTATAACTCAAAAGTTTTCAATCACCAAACTAAGATTCAAAAGCCGAATTTTCTCGAATGTGTTTTTGCTTAGATCAGTTAACATAAGCAAGTGAAAGTGTTAACTCACAAGTTGGAGCAGGTCGTCCTGTCGCAGCAGATGCCTGCGGTCAGCGCGCGAGGCGAGCAGACGCGCGGCTCCGAAGCGCGCGGTGCCGCCCGCCCCGCCCGCGCCCGCAACACCGCCGCGGGTCAGACGACGCAACGCCGCGCGGAAAGCCTAAACAATATTACACATTTCTTAATCAATACTGTTAGGATGAAAATACGACGCTGTGCCGGTGTACTGGAGCAACACCAGCCTTACTAAAATGTCGACGTTTATGTCCCCTCATTAATCATTCAAAATTGGATTGTTTGTATGTAGTATAGAAAAAAACATATTTCGTTTCTGGCGTTAGGGCGATTTTGACGGACAGCTGACATTAGCAATTTTCTTTTAAATTTTGAATTATGGAAATACATAATTCAATTCACTTGCTACGATTTTGAAAGCTAAGTGTTGTTAATGTAGTGTCATTTTAAATTAATTCTAATAAATTCAATTGTATGCAAAATAAAATTAAAATTACTTAGCAATTCGAATTTCTAAAACAATATGTCAATACAGTTTATGCTAATAAGAAAATATTTAAAAATAAAAAAATATGAAATTGAAAGTTCGACCAAATGCTGGACACAAAAAATATTAGAAAACGCACCTTTTTAATAATTAAAACATTATATTAATATATTTACGATGCAAACAAAATACACCAATAAGAAGTAAGTTGTATTGCAAAAAACCAGTACTAAATTAAAGGACTACTGAGAAAACTAAAGACGCTTTTGTGCGTATTTTAAGAGGCGATTTCGTTGTTATCGAATGTTGTCGCTTACCTGAGTCCTTTCTGCGTCCCTTTTCCTCTCGTTCAAGGCCTCAGCGAGGGCCTCTAGTCGCGTCAGGGCTCTCTGCAGCGCCACTCTGTCGGCGTGGCCGGGCGGCGTGTGCTTCAACAGGTCCTGCGGAGTGATTAATGTTACTTCACTTCTTTTGTTCCCTTTTAATTTGTAAATAATTAGTTGGGACGTATAAAATACGGTGTAAATTCAAGCGAAATGTTTTACAGTGTTTCGTAAATTAATGTATCTCGTTTAGCTTTAATGTTCTTGGAACGGTTAAGAATTTAAATGGACAGAAATAGAACAAGAAACTACACAATAAAACTTTTTTTTAAACTTTTATAAGGGTATATGTTTACCCTTTTTTGTTAAATAATATTATATACATATAGGCAATAAAGATAGGATATACCTATTCAGAACAAACATAGCATATGTAATAATATTTTTTTTTATATTATAAGATGATAAACTGTCACGTGAATCGACAGAGGAAGAGACGCAAATAGAACATTTTCCGTTCTTATGCATCCCCTCAAATATCAAACATAAATGTAAAGAAGTGTAACCTGTAAAAACATGATGAACTGAGGAAACCGCTGCACCGGCTTCACCATCAGTCCGAAGAAGGAGAGCCGATCGTGAGCACTGATCTGCTTCACTTTGAAGAAGTCAGCCAGCGCTGATTTGCGCTTCGATTCCATCTTCGCCAACTCCATGGCGACGGAGAAGTTGTTGATGAAGTCAGAGTACACGTCCAGCACCACCGCCTTCGAGAATGCATTAAGGAAGACCTCGCCTGTAAAATAATATTTTCCCAGTGAATAAGCAAGCAATAAATTTCGTCCGTGCTATATTGAAGGTCACTTTTTAAATTTTATTTTGTGAAAATTTCACGTTAAATCAAATAATAAAAAAACTGCTAAGCTCTGGTATAATTCACTGCACGTGTTAGTGTGTATTGTACTAGCCCCATACACAAAGTCTAAACGACAGTTTAAATTCAAATGTATAAGAAATTGAACTTTCAACATGGCACGATACATTTTAATGATTCTACTAACTACTAGCAGTACAGGTAAATTTGTCTACTGGGGCTGGATCTATTTTTAAAGCGTAGCGTATAGTTGACTAACCAATTTTTTCATCGCGGTCCCACGTGGCGGCGCAATCTGCGAGCGCGGTGCGGAAGTGCAGGTGACACTGCAGGATGTCAGGCAGCCGGTGGAACAGCGTCTGGATCTTGCTGGCGTTCAATATCGCCGGGCTGCTTTCCTCTAACGGCTTCTTGTAGTCCTGGTACAATTGACAACAGTTACCATGTGTTTCCATTGTCGTAATACCTGTATAACAACAATTGACATCCTTCTCTGTCTCTTACAAACTTCGTGAACTTTAAATCGTACGAATATTAAAAACACGTAAATAATGTTTGGATGAATGTTTTTCAAAAGGTACCAGAATGGCTCAACGTTTCTCTCTAAAATTTGGCATAGATATTAAGCTTAGTCTGAAGGATACAAAGGCTTACTAATTATGTTTTTTTTTAATTCCGCGTGGACAGAGTGGCGAGCGACAGCTAGTGTATTAGATATTGATAGTGTACACAAAAAGGCGGATAACAATTATAAATGCAGCGAATTTTAAAGCGCTTTCAATCGAACGACAACAATTCAAAATCTCTTATATCACCGCGACGACAACGATACATAACATAATAATTCATATATTAGAGAATTAAAAAAATATAATATCCTCGAACATGACTTCCGCAAATATATTCTAGGCAAACTCATGGTCGTTGCGGTTTTGTGTGTATTAATAAACATTATAAACAATCATGAAAACACTGGGTCACGTTAAAAATATATGGAGCGTGATAATTGAGTGTCAGACGTCTGAATGTCCTCATTACATGCGTTTTATAAATTCAACCTTGTCACCTATTGTATCTGGAATTAACTATGTAGATTAAGTGTTGTTTGTATGTTATTTAAATAACGAGTTTCATTTCATTCACTCTCTGTCTAATAAAAGGGATGATACAACGTCATTCACCTTAAAAAAATAACGGTTTTGAACCTTAGTATAAACAAAGAACAACCATGAAATCGAATGAACTATCCAATATAAAGTAAGTATACATTTGAATCGATTGTTTATACAATTAAGAGGATGCAATTAATATGTAAGTCAAGATAACATCGGCAACAAGAAAGAAGAAAATACGATACGCACAATAATAAGTAATGTATGCACATAACTTGCTGAAGATAACTAAGGTCATGAAAAACTTTACAATTAATTTATCTACATAACATCCGTAAACATATACGTCTTTATATCAATAACTATTATATTACCAATTTTTTCATCATTCAAGTAACTTTTTTTTGTTCGTCTCAAACTTTGTCGTTTAGACAGGAACATAAAAAGGTGTAGAGTCGTCATATCGCGTCATCTCTCGAAATAGTTACTATGTGTCGTGTTTATTAATTTACGTCAGCGCTCGTGTATTGATTTTTAAGTAAACTTACTACTGTAATAAGTAAATCATGCATTACATAAAGTTACTAACAAATTGAAATGGTAAAAACCTCCCTGTCTTTTAAACATTGCAATCTTACTAATATTATAAAAGCAAATGCAAATTAGAAGGATGGATGTTTGTTTTAAGGTATCTTCGGAACGGCTGGATGGATCTTGCTTAAATTGAGCACTGATGTAGAACATAGCCTGGAAGTACACGTAGGCTACTTATTATGTTTTTTATATAAGTTTTAATATTCAGTGGACGGAGTCGCGGGCGACAGTTAGTTTTTATAAATAAAACAGATGATTTATCTAACAGCTCTTCCTAAAATTGAACTATGTACTATTCCTTTGACTTCAAAAATGATAAGATCCTGTACTCGTCTGTATGCTTTTTTTTGTCACAGGTGAATCTTTAATCTGCAAGTTAAGCTTGAGAGAAATGTTTTAAAAAAAACTAAATGGCCGTAATGTTGGTATTTGTTTCCATTAGCTCGCTACCCGGTGGCAATACCGGTGACCAAATATAAACAAACGAAGCCATTTAATAAAGCGATGACCTCGTGTCGACTTGCAAATGCCCATACAAACTGACCTACTTCCTAATATGCAAATTTCTACCATGGCTTAGTCGAACAATGTTAAAGTGGGACGAACAACATTTATTATTATTATTATGAGTAAAATATTTGACTGACCGTGTCGTATTGTTTTCATTATGAAAACAATGGAGACGATGTCGCGAAAAGAAAGTGCATTACTGAGTTTGAATATCTTAATGAATTGACATCGCCCGCGATTCCGTCCGCACGGAGTTTAAAAAGAAACTTAAGTAGTAGCCTATGTGTTCTTCCAGAATATGTTTTACATCTATGACAAATTTAATCGAGATCCATGCAGGCGTTCCGTAGATATCTTCAAACATACACCCATCCATCTCATCTGTCTGTACATCATTTTATGAATAGCTACCGAATTAAACTATTCAATATTATATAAAACAAGACCCGTACTCTCTTTAAACAGTGAAAGGTGTAGATAGAATCAATTAGAGTAAGGCGTTCGAATACATTGCGCGAACTTATATTTTTCGCAGGTACTTGTTTAGTGGTTTCACTATTTAAATAGATTTAGAAAGTACTTAGAGATGTTAAAAAATATATAAGAAGTTACGTTATCTGTGCTCACTTCACTTTCTTACGTCTTTTTATTACGTCTTCGTATCTAAATGTATTGGAAATGTGGAAAGTAAATTAAGTTTTCATATAACATTCGCGTACAGAAAACGTATCATCAAAACAATAAAGGATGTAGGTAATTATTCATATTTACTAATCACAATTGTATTGCTTTGAAATCTGACATTCTTCTAAATATTCCGAGATTTTAAGGTAACATACGCTCAAAAATAATTTCCAGTTATCCCGAAAAGTTCATACTTTCTAGTTTCTTGTAGTTATCGCAGATTTGAGCTATCTACGAGTCTGTTAAGAAACTAAGCATAATAATGGATGCCATAAACAAAATCAATTTCAATTTGTAAAAAAAAAAGCTTCCAAATTTCACTTTTGTTTCTCATTACATAATAGGAAATCTGTCTTGTTTAATAACATTTTAATTGTGAGGAAATGAAATCATATTAAAAACTTGAACAGTTTAACTTCGATCACGCTTCATTTTATCGTGACACGTGTTGCTTAATTGACTCGTCAATTTGGTTATGTTTTGATTGGTACGTTTGAGAAAACAGGTAACAAACGACGGTGAAACTAATAATTGATAGAATCAATTTATTAACCGAACAAACTTTAATGTAACCATCTAAGTCGCAAATGTAATAGATGTTTTAATCGCATTTTTATGCGACTCCGGTGAAATAAATTGTTTAGATACGCAAGTGTACGTAATCAGTGAGATTATAAAAAAACAACTCGAGGCGTCTTACTTATATGACAACGCGGATTATGTATTATTATACATAGCAATTGTAACTTTATTTACGTAAGTTAATTTCTCTATGAATAAATTATTTATGAAAACTTTTCATATTCACCGTAATTTTGCATTAAGATAGCTGAGTTTTTATTTAAGTACGTATAAATTCGTAGGACTTTCATTTTAATATTTCTTCACCATGACTAGAACATATTTTGTTATATTACTCTACAAGTCTATACTATTGGGACTTATATTTGGAAACACTGGATTAATGCATACTATATCAACGTTTCCAGTTAAATATTATTCACAAATAGGTAGTTAATTGTATCTACAAGATTAATACAAGTAGTCGCGCAACGCCTTCGCAATGCCCGTAACAAGCTTTCATTGACAACTCCCAGTTATTTCTGTTGAACGGCGCGCTTGCGAAAAGTAAATATCTCGCGCGACCTTGCAATTAGCAGCTTATTCGAACCACAACTCTTTGCTACAATTTACCTTTACATAATTCAACATAAATATAGACGAGATTAATTCCTTAACAACACCACTCAGTTTCGATCTTACTAATATTATAAATGCGAATGTTTAGATGGATAAATGTATGTTTCAGGGTATCTTCAAAACGGCTGAACGGATCGCGTGGAAATTTGGCGTACATATAGATGATTGTCTAAAAGAACAAATAGGCTATTAATTATGTTTCTTATTAATTCGACGCGGACGTAGACGCGGGCGACAGCTAGTATTAAATAAAGAAGTTTAACTTTCAAATTAAAACAACAAATACAAGGAATTAAATTCCAATGTAATAAATAGAACGATCTAGTTTTGTATCGAGTTATGCAATTCAATCGGTTTCCTTATGGCATTCATTGTTATGCGCATATTAAAAGCTTTTAATTTTTATTGTTTTATCGTGAAATAACCACTTACATGCAGAATGTACGAACATTCTACTCACTTGTGTATTTAATTTAATCGAGCCAATTTCAATGATTATTAACAATAGTATTCTCTCCATCTTGCGTATAGAAATATTTTAGCACAGAATATCGTGCGGTTTTCACAGATGCCAAACTGTTCATAGACTGTTTAATTCCTAAAGAAAAGTGTATATAAGTTTTACACTAAATACTAACATTGACAAGCCTTTGCAGCGTGGCGACGTATGAATTTTCACTGTGTATAATCGCGGCGACGACGTGCCTCCGCCTCAGCTGTACCGCGGTGAGGGCATCTGGGGGAGGGCCGAGCGACGGGGGCGGCACACGCCCGCCCCGCACCTCGCCACCGCACGAAAACATATCCTCCTCCAACTGAAAGAAAATTCCACATTAGAAATACTCATCACTAAATAAATATCTTACTAATAGTATAAATGTTAAAATAAAGATGGATTGATATCTGTTAGAAGTTATCTCCACAACGGCTGCATGGATGATGCTGAAATTTAGCATAGATAAAAGCGACTAATTAAGTTTTTTATTTTTAATTCTGCGCGAAAAATCTCGCGGGCGACTGCTAGTTAATCAAGCTCATAGTGCGGTAGTAAGTTATCAGACCTCTTATAATACTGCAGTAAAGAATGTCAATCGAAAGACATCCTGCATTGGAAAATTAGCCGAGCTGTTTTGCCGCAATTGTTCAGAAATACGAAGTACTATATGACCCCTATTAGTCTGTCGTAGACGACCGTGAATAGCAATTGCTGAATAATAATACAAAATTCGCTGTAGTATTCTAAAACATGTATATGGATTTTACAAATTACTAATTAGCATAAAATATTAGTTATAGATTTCTAAATAACCGCCCATTGCAGTATAACGAGTAAGCCAAGGTATTTATTTCTTAGTACAACAAGAATTATCATTTGAAATTGCATTAAAAAAAATACTTTTTACTACAAAAAAGAATTCCTAGACTCTATAAGCAAATGGCCTTTTAATTTCACTCATTTAATTAAGCAAATTAATTTGAAAATTTCTCTATTTCCCTTTGTTTAGACTCCGTTGACATACTTTTCCTTGTTTGTTTAGTGGGAATGTGTTATAGAGGTGCATTCCGAGATAGGCATCAGTTCTCACGCGACAGTTAATACTTATTATGTGCATATTAAAGTCATTATTATTATTAACAACACTTGAATCACAAAGCAGGATAAAAAGCGCGCTATTTTTAAATACTTGTACTAGGTTACCAGACAAACAAAGAATTCAATAGATATTCAAACAATAATACTATAACGTATTAATAAATGCTCGTTTGCCCCCTTCTCTTATAAAAAAAAAAATATATATTTTGACTACAACTTTTTGCTTTGTCTCCTTCTTACGTGTATTTAAAAAAAACAGAGGATTTATAGCTATAAAAATTTATAGCGTAATAGATCGCTGCTAGATAGATCCTTTTAAAATTAGATATACGGCATTTATTTTGATACGGAAATTCAGAAAGACAACATTTGCATTGCTATGCTATTTAGCAGTTACTTAAACAGTCATATTCATAACTGAGTCGCGTCCTCGGCTGTTTTTATTTTGCATTCTGTTCACGTAGAGCAAGCAAGATACGTTTACTGCGAACACATCAAAGTTGCCACACGTTACTTCCTCCTAGCATTAAAACGTTTATGATTACGTAATAGATACATACAAAGGACAAAGACATAAAGACTTTGCATTACGATTCGCGTACAAGAATGTAAGATCTAAAAAACTTCAAAAACATGTTCTCTGCTTGTGTGTGCGAATTTTAGTACAAGATTTTAAAGAGAACTCTCAAAGTGGGTCGAAACATCTGGCAACATTTGGAACGATTCTCACACACAAACATCGAGCCAATAGTGTTTATTAAAATGGAACATTGTTCGTCGCTGTGTTATCGCATAAGAATATATTAATATTAGTAACATGTTTCCAGACTGTGTCCAGATGAGACGATTTCGATAGCGGATTCAAGAAAACATTCGCACAAGATCGAATTCGATTGAAGTAAAAAAAAAACATCGTTAAATTTCTTGCCAGTGGCGTCATCTAACCGATTACTCGCACGCCGCTATATACAGGAAATCGTACCATCCAAACAATATCAACACACACGAATATTACAAGCACGTAAATGTCAAAAGTAACATCCGCCGGACGGTCACGTGACTTACGTCAAACGTCGTCATCGCATACTGAGCTTTATCGTGCAGGAGCTTCACACAGAACATTTTGACATCAGAAACACCGAGCACTTGTATTATCTTTTGACATTTACGAGTGACACGTTATCCATGCGGTCTCACTAAGAATACACTGATGTTAAAAAATTACAATCGTAAACATGAGTCGAGCACGGCACAGCATCGGCCACCGATCGCGCATCATTATATCACATGTTTAAATAGATTATTTATTTAGCGAGTCGTGTGCGTCGCCGCCGTCCCCGCGCCGGCTCGACCGGCTCGTAACACTGGTCCGTAGGTGAATGATTCCACGCTTAATGCTTTGATGATTCATTTATAAATGAATCATTTTGCCTTTCCTATATAACTCTGTATTACGGCTGGAATAAATGCGTTGTCAGACAACAAGGAGGCAAAATATGACGCCTTTGAATTCTTGAAATTGTGATAGGCAGGCAATGACCAATGACAGGAAAATGTGGTTTATTACGTCGATAGAGCAGCGAGACCCCGGTGTTAAATGGTTTAATTTCTCGCTATAAATCCTAATTGACGTTGGTGTGGGGCTAACGTTCATCGTTCTAACTGATATAATATATATACATAATAGTATACCTCATTTTTCTACAATTTAAGTTACTCTAACAAGGTAAAGTCACTGTCACGGTTCTGTATGAGCCACAATAATTTTTTTATCACATTTGTATAGCTTCTCCGTCATTATTATTCCATTCACGTATCTGAAGGAAGGGAAACCGTTTTATATGTCTTTGTGTTTAATTGTCAACACTTAAGTATTATGTCGTATGGATGTATAGAGATCAAAATTCAATGATAGTATAATTTACTTTTAATGTTTTAGTGAGTTATCATTGTAGTATCATATTGGAAATTTGTTCAAAACATTCGAGACATTCGCATTGTCATTAAAACTTGTAACATGTTTGTTGCTTAAAGAAAATTAATTAAAAAGTTAATTAACCATGTTATTATAATTATTGATAAAATTCGGCTAAAGTCGTACTAAAAAATTCGTGTCGCGTTCCTCGAATGTGACAATTGTCGCGGCATCCGCAAACTACTTAAGTTAACTACACATCCTGTCGGATGATACAAGTTAATTGAGATGCGTATTTAAACTGACGCATGTTGTAAAGCCATTTCGCAATTAAGCCCGATAAATTACGTACTGCACGGGTTATAGTGCTAAAAACTTTCAGATGATTTTTAATAAAATCTTTTGAACCACACGATTTGTTGTTCTTAGCGTGACTTTTCAATGAAGATTTAATTTACTTTTATCAATCAAGTTTTCAACAGCAACATTTTAACAATAATCAATAATAATTGCAAAGAAAAAAGTACCTAGATTATTTAATTTTAATAATACTGATTGTAAAGATACTTTTTGGGTATAAAGTTTGAAACAACCATTCATTTCTTATGCTTCATTTGTGAAACTTAACTGAAGGGGTTGAGAAGACTGTAGAATTGACCTCTGGCACCACACTCATCAAAATAAACGCAGAAATACTTCCGCATTATAACTGTATTCTGTGTGGTCGTGTCGCTAATACTCCTACGAACTCTGCTAAACTCTAATTTGTGTTGTATTTTTACCTCTGGCAGTTTGGGCATCTTGTCCGTATCTTGCGTGTGCATGTCGTAATGGTGCGCGGAGCCGCGGCGCACGCTAAACCAGCGCGCTAAACGTCCACCGCCGTCGTCATCAGGCGCGGCGGGCGGTGAGGGCGTCTCCCGCCCGTTGCGCCACCGCTCGCAAAGCTCCCGGGCTCGGCTCAGCGTATTCCGCAACTGGCCAGTACTCCTGAGTAGACAGAACAAAGGTTATTAATACAACATACTTTCATCATTAAAAAGAAATCTAGAACTGATGATCTCCAACATAAAAGACAACTGCCTTGATTCTAAACGATCACTACGCAGTGCCTTCTAGAAAAGTTCGTCTAAAATTTCCTCAAATGCTTTAAGAAATTATATTTATATATACTCAAAAATGTTAGCATCATTTATAATAACATGATAAGTTTCGTAAAGGCCACACAATATACATAAAAACGACTTCAAAAAGGTGCCAGCTATAAAAAAACAATAAAAATATCCGCTTCAATATTATTCAAACAACTTTTATTCTTATCATAATGACTTTATTTCATAGCCAGCCATGTATTTTAAAAGCTAAATTATTGGACATTACACTGAAATGTTATGTACTAGTTATATATAAGCATAATAATCCCATGATGCACTTGAACTTTAGATAATTTTCTTGATTAATATAATTAATGTAATCTTCATAACAAGATCATTAAAATATAATTGTAAGCATTGATTTACACACACAAAGACATGTCAAATATACTTAAGATATACATATACGTTTGTATATAAAGATATAGAGTTATGTCATAAAATGTTACGAGCTTAGTTCCCACAGTTAGCCATGATTATTCACAATGTAATTATGTGTCATCGAACATCATTTGCCATCTCGTGGTAAATATAATGGTCGCTTTATTCCTTATTTTATTTTTGTTGATGAGTAAACAGTTTAATATAATAACAATGATTGAACAAAAGCGTTATCATTTAGGCGATCAATGGCATCACTAGAAACAATGTTTATTTTAACCCTTTATAAGTTAGAGGCGATATTTTCAACACCATGATTTTTATTTTTTTATCATCAAAATTGGCACTTGTGCATAGCACTTAATGTCAGTGACTTTCATAAAAAATTAAATTATTATAGATTTTTGTTATAAGTAAAAAATACTTTTTTGTGGTACTACTTTTGTAATAAATATAAAAACTTGATGTTTCCAATTTTTTTTAAATACTACCAAAAATAAATTATTGTATATAATTACAGTAATAGAATAGGTCGGGCGCATACGTACGTTTCTACTTCTATTATATACCCTTAATATTATCATTTTTTTTCCACTGTCCACTCCTTAAGACCGTAAAAGTGTTAAACATCTTCAATTTAATAATAACTAAAGAAGTTTGTCGATTTTATGTTAAATAAGTAATTTTAAAATTAGTAAAAATTTAAGCCATTTCTGTCGTGTTTTATTTACTAACCGTTGGTTTCTGAGGCCAAAATGTCTATATAAAACATATTGTTATGTCTACTTTGTCAGAGATAATGACAGAGATGACGATATGTTTTACACGGGAATTTTGCTTTCAGAAAACATCGATAAGTATTAACAAAAGAGCGTTTAAAGATACCATTCAATTTAAATCATTGTTTAAAACATTCGGATAGTGTATTTTCAGCCAAAAAGTATATTTTAACGTATTGAGAAAGTCCTTGGACCCGTATAATTATACTTGCAAAGCGTTATATAGGGGTCGAAAGTGTTCAATTTAGGTCAGCTACGTACTTTGTTGTGATAGTTGCGTAGTAACATAGTGAATTCGAATACAAATCCGAATCGTTTAAATTTGGAACGGTTGAAAAGTAAATACTGTTTGTTAACAAGAATTTGCTACCATTAAAGACAAAAAAGAAAAATAAAGAGAAATATACTGCTCTAAGTAATCATACTCATCAATATCGGAGTGACAATAAAAATTATTTACGACATTGCGTTCGATCTTATATTGCACCAATTGAGATTAATTACTTGATCTGTAGGATGCTGGCAATTAGCCGACGCGGAAGAGCTACAATTACAGGGAGAAACAAATATCTAATGACTCCTTTTAATTGGTGAAAGTTCAAGTTGGAAGCGTAAAGTAATTGCTAAATGTCTCCCGCGTTCACAACTTGCCGATAAAATGACTCAAATGGCAATAGAAAACTACTCTATTACACATTCTAGGCTACATTTGTTTAGTTACCAGAATACTACCATAGATGAAAATTAATACAAAGAAACTCTAAAGAAAGTTGCAGAATTGTAAACTCATCGAATGCATTTAAAAGAAAAGAATCATTACTAATTTAAATTTAGGAGAATTATAAAGCTAAAAGGTTCTTAATTCTTATATCTTTCGAAGCATCTTACAAAAACGTTAACACACTTTATTGTATTTAAGACTCACAGCGTAGTCACATAAATTTGATTAAGATTTGGAGAAGGACTGAGCAGGTAAAGGCAAATGCTTCTAAAAATAACATCTTAATAAAACTAATACGTATTCTTCGAACCTTTAAAACTAAAAGCATTGATATAAACAAACAATACAATGTTATTTCATAACTATAGCAATTGTACATTTTGCAATCGATATAAATAGAGATCGGATTTTGCTTGAAGTCAACAGTAATGGTCGTGCTATAAAATAAACGACATTTCTAGAAATTATGCACGATACTAAAACGACAATGAAGCGATTACAATACGAAACTTTCAACAAATAGTTCAAGGTTGTTACATTAAAATTAATGAAGTCATTAACACAAACGACAAATGTTATGGCCATAAAATATGTCTCGTGTTTATCATAAAACATGCTGAATCCTAAAGTTTTAAACGTAAAGAAAGCATTATAATTTAATTGATCAGTACAAAAGGCTATCGTAATTTAAAGTATCTATTAATAATTTCTGGTGATTACTTTTGAAAGTTAATTGAGTCGATATAAACTTAATAGCTGTCGCCCGCTACTCCGTCTGCGCGGAATAAAAAAAAACAGAATTAGTAGTCTTTGTGTTCTTCTCGACTATATTTATGCCAAATTTCATCCAAACAAACATCCATCCAAACATTCGCATTTATAATATTAGTAAGATTTATTACTCTTTTCGTCTGACTATTTCTATTCGGTGACAACCCTAAAATCGATCCTAAATCATATTCAGCAATACTGTGATGAAAGATAAATCGTCTCGTGTGAAGTGGGCCAGTAGAGGCAACCTGTGGTGCAGTTTTATTAGAAGGTATCAGTTACGGTGCTTTAGGGGCCGCGTTAGCACCAAACACAGGTGATGTTAGACGTCTTGCGTCATAATTACACACGACACGATAATATTGTGTTTGATGGGTTATGCAAGTCATTGTTTAGAAACGCTGCTAAGATACGCTGGTATCATAATTCATGTCACATCGCGTGAAGTGCGACCTTTTGATATGTTTGTAATAACATACAATGAGCACATTTGTCATCAAATGTAAAGGATTACCAAATTGTAGTTGTAAGAATTATATTCTACGGTCTTATTAAATTTAAGCTTCTGAGATTTTTTTTTAAATGGGACAAACGAGCGAGCGGCCACCTGATATCACTCAAAAAGAGAGGCGACCGCTGCCCATAAACATACGCAAATGCATATGCCTTGCCTACATTTAACCGTCGGAGGAGGGGATGCACAAAAAGAAAATATTTGCCCTTCCCATGCATCCCCTCATCCGGAAAGTCCACTTCCACTGTTAGAAAATAGTAAGATACTAATTAACTATATTAGAAGAAGGCTTAATGGGACTTTATCAGTTGAATATTTTTTTCTTAAGCAGAAAAAAATGGTATTTTAAAAATTTGCATTAAAGTTCTATATATCAAAATTTCTAACGGATACTCGTATTACTCAATATTCTAATTTTAAATAATAACAAAATTATAATATTCAAAAGGAGACAGATAATATTAATCAACTTTAAACAACAGCCTAATTGTTTTATCTATAATTACTTAATCTTAATTGTAAAACCAAATTCAGTTATATGAATCATCGACCCATTTAAAATTTACAAAATAACATACAAAGTATTAAGAAACCACCAAAATTGCAAAATTAATTCCAATTTTCAAACTTTTAATTTCACATAAAAAAATAGTACAATATTCTTATCAAATACATAAACCCTTCTTTAGTTCTTATAAATCTACTGTCATTATCTATGTCGGGTCAGAGTTCATATATATCAATTCCCATTAAAATGATACGACATAAACAAGGCAAGCACTAGATAGCAGTAATATTGTCGGCTCCTTTAACTGTCATTAATGGGTTTACATTTTAATGATTTAATAATTCATTCTTTATTACATTTAATAAATACTAGAGGTCGCCCGCGACGCCGTCCGTGCGGAATTAAAAAAAAACATAATTAGTAGCCTATGTGTTCTTCCAGACGATGTTCTATATGTATGCGAAATTTTATCAAGATCCGTTCATCCGGTCTAGATTCCTTCAAATAAACGTCCATCTATCCATTTATAATATCAGTACGATCAGCTAAGGTTTCAACTACTAAAATATTTGTATAAAACATTTTGTCAACTCATTCATGTTGTATGGTTGTTTCATCAGTAGAGGTCCACAGTAAGTACAAGTCATGCAGAAATTATTTTAATTCCTAAAAATAAATACATTTTGGTTAATCTACAGTACACTAATCTATACTAATACTAGCTGTTGCCCGCTACGTCGCCCGCGACTCCGTCCGCACGGGATTAAAAATAGATGTTGGCCGATTCTCAGACCTACTCAATATGCTCACAAAATTTCATGAGAATCGGTTAAGCCGTTTCAGAGGAGTATGGGAACGAAAATTTTGACACGAGAATTTTATATATAAGATTATAAAGCTGAAGAGTTTGTTTAAACGCGCTAATCTCAGAAACTTACTGGTCCGAATTGAAAAATTCTTTTTTTGTTGTATTGCCCATTTATAGAGGAAGGCTTTAGGCTACATAACATAACGCTGCGCCAATAGGAGCGTAGCGTCAATGAGTACTAATTATGCCTTTTTAATACCGCGCAGACGGAGTCGCGGGCGACGGCTAGTGCCTTCGTATAATGTTGACAAAATGAATGACTACAGTAGGTATTATTAAGAGACAAGTTTTAAAAGTTCAGTTAATAATATGTCGAGCTAAACAATAATCTATTCGCTTTATTAGACAAGACAATGTAGCAATAAAACGCAAGGATATCCAGCTGTTATACCAATATGATGGACTATCCACTGTTTACTACAAGTTATCAGCCTGACCTATAGATGTTTGACGTTACGATAATTTGCTAATACAAGACTTGTTATTATTGCCACATATATTCATACTAGTTGTTGACCGCTACTCTGTACGTGTGGAGTTTAAATAAAACTTAATTAGTAGCCTATGTGTTCTTCCAGACTATGTTCTACAACTATATCAAATTTCAGCCACATCTATCCAGCCGTTCTGGAGATACCTTCAAACAAACATCCATTCATCTATCTTAACCTTCGCATTTATAATATTAGTGATAAGTAAGATTAATAACAATTTTCGAAAACATATTTTTTGTAGTTATACTAGCTTATTTTTCTTAGTATGCCAAGAAAAATATTACACAAAGTTGGAAACTTAAGCTTAATAGGCAATTTTTGCATCGTGATTATTAAAAAATAATAATACCTAGATTTCACAATTAGATTTTTAGCACAAGATAGATACTAATTAGTGTTATAATTCCGTTTTGAAAGTTGCAAAATGTTAAACACGAGTATCAGCCGTATAGTTAACAGCCATTTGGCCTCAATTAGACAAAATAAAACATCCAGCCAATGACAAAACAATCAATGTTAATGAATTGCCCGCGCGGTGGATTTGTTACGGTGGTGTTACGCTTTCGTTTAGTTCAAGAGCAATTGTTATAAATTCATTTAGTGATCACTTTTTAGATAGACATCAGCTGATTGAGTCTAATGGAATAGACTCATTTAAGTACGAAAAGAAAAAGAAAAATAACTCAAAACAGCAATGAAAAAATAAAAGAGCAAATATTAGTGAATTAAATAAATTATTGAAAGTATTTGAATGTTTACAAATATTTAACAAAGCAGATAAAATAATTTAAAAAGTACATCACAAGAAGGTCGCAAAAAATGCAATTATATCCGAAGTGGAGCATAAAGACAAGATTTCATAATTTTAATAATCACAAAATCGTAGCGCACATTAGCAGCAAATGAGATTGGTTAGCAAACATGTACATGTAAAACCGGGGAAATTTCATAACTAATCCAGTCGTCGTATTTCATTATAAGGAACTAGAGTTGTGTGTAAATAAGGAAGCCTATCTAGATTAAACCTGATTTAGTTAATCACTAATCGATTATGAAAAGACGAACGATAGACGAACGAAGTAGTCGATGCAATTTGCAATTCCTACACTCAATATTGATTCTGGATTTGTGGATCATGATAACGTGCATCCATTTATCACTTGTGTAGACCTAATTAAGACATAAAATTCTTTTACTTCTATAGCATAGAAGATTGTTGATTTTGAAGTACTTTCCTGCTTCTTTCTGAAGGCGGGGGTACAAAATTTGCGTTAATTGGTTGCACCGCCTGAAGGTTACTTGCAAATTGTTACTAATTTTGCAAGTCACAGGTCATTTAAATATATAGGATAAAGTGTTGTCTTCGTTTTTATTAGTAGCATTCTAATTGTATACTAAGGAAGAATCTGATTCCAGTTATGTGAGCACAAACAATAGGGGCCGTAATAATTGCTCCGTCCAAAGTACAGTGAATTACATATCATTATCACAAACTAACATGCAAATCGTCGTCTTCGTGGCCTTATCCTTGACATTCTTTTAGTATCTTTGTAATGTCACAATTTACTACCGCTCGTCGTACAGTTGCGTTTATGTTTGCTTGATAAATTAATGTTGTTTGTTCACAACGTAGTTTAAACAATATATTATCTTTTGAAACATTACAGAATGATTGTATCTAAGCAACTATTATAGTATATGCATATGATATTATTATTTTCTTAACATCTTTATTAAACAATCTTTTATTTTTAAAGATAAATATTTACGAACATGTATGAAACATAGAAATAGGATGAAGGTTAGTATAATTATTTTAAAAATGTTAAGAAATAAAAGGGTCAAAGATATTTTACGAGCGATAAATAATACCTTTAATAAACAATGCAATACTCACGAACATGAAACACAAAATATAGCGTGGCATTTAGTTGACACAGCATTTAATAACGGAAGAAAATGTAGAGCGTGGGAACTGTACACAAATCAATACAAAGTTGACACGGACTTGTAAATCGAAGTATAACGTTCACAATTTACACAGAGTATTGAACGACATTTGGCAATGTAAAAAGCTTCACACCTATTAAGTGTAATACAGTACAACTGCGCAGTGGTACATATTGTCAGAATCATTGTACTGGGGCACTGTCCTCTACAGGGCTACAGTTAGACAGGAAATTTGTGTTAATTGGGTGCGCCGCGCCTCGCTAAATGCAGGACTACGGTGACCATAATTCGGTTTGCATTAATTATTATGCTGATAATGTAATCATTTATCCATGATAAGTCGAAGGAAACATTTTAGCATATGCCTCAGCCCATTTTAGGAAAGAGGTAAAGGTAAAACATAACAAAGATAATCAACTAAGGGAACAGGAACTTATATGTTCAATCAATAATTAATATCTGAGTCGGTAAGAGGGGCGCTGCTGTCGCGGCTAGTTCAGTCAGAAAATAATTAAAACCTATACTATCATAGAAAATGGCATAAAACCATGACATGCAAGCTACAGTACAAAAAAGGATTTTGCAAGACGTTTTGACGTTGACTGGGGGGCCCTAGTGAGCTGTCATAAATTAGTTAAATTCATGTCCACCGGATCGGATATCCTTTTCGATCTATATGATGACATAGAGGTGCACCAATCAAACACTTTAATAATCCAATAATTCATAAGAATAATATAGCAAGGGATAGCCCTTGCTATATTAAAACCTTTTTGCAATTCAGATCTCCCATTTCTTTGTGTTGTTAACCCTACGTCACATGAGGGACCACCATAGCAGAGGAAGTCGTGTACAATGCGACATAATGAGATTAGCATTTCACAAGTGGTATTATTGGCTATATTTTGCTTCCCCTTGTTTATCTCTTGGAAGGCAAACTACACATTACAAAGCTTTTTAGCGTCCTTTACTTCTGACCACATTTAAAGTTCGATTGGGTCACTTGACTTTAATATACTAGCGATAACTTGTATCTAAAATAAACATGAGTGAATATTTTTGGTTACACGTAGATAAATATATAATATTATCTCGTACTTAGGATATATTAGTCAGGTCGATAGAGTGCCCGCCTTCCCCATTCCAAAAGGGAATTGATTCTAATTTGGGCTTCACTATCAATCTCACTTAGGCAGACGCGGGTTGTTTCCTTTTATTATACCATTACTAACTACATTTGTACATGATGGACAGAATTCAATGACTTTTAATATACTATTAAATTTGATTATTTGTTAGTATTTATTCATTGTTTTTGAAGTTGTGGTGTTATATATTAAAAATTGAAACTAATTGTAAACATAATTTTAATATTTACTTATTTATCTATAAGTAATTTTGCACTTTGAGGAAAATTGAAACCCATAACTTGTATTTGTATTAAAATATTTGCATATAACGTTTGTAAAAATAATTCTAGATATTTTAAGAAAAAACTCTTTATGTTTAAAGGTTATAATTAATGTTAGAAAGTTTTGGAAAATTTGAGTCATTGCCTATTGACTTTCATATGTCGTGGTCAAAATATGTATAAACGGTAATTTAAGCAAAGCCCACGCAGATCCTGCTTATGCAACGTGTATCCAATAATCTATGATAATTATAGTTTAGAGTTAAGTCAAACGTGAATTATTAATAACTTGATCCTTAGGTCATTTTGCGTGAATTAATTGTAGAAGCCCAAAGTCGTAGGCTAATGATTTATGAACAACCTGCTATTAACGCAACGACGGTTGTAAATTTTGCAAAATATTACATTATTGCATTATTTTACGATTTGCTCACCTTGTACTTCTAACAGTTAATTAAAATCTGATATTTTATGATGTTTCTTGTCGTTTAATATTACAAAAACTAATGAATATAATAACGGATAATATGTAAAATATTCATATATAAATATTGTAAAATAATCGCTTACTAGTACTTAAATCGGTACAACCTCATTATTGTGGGTCGTGAGAGCTTGTTCATAGAGACAAGCAAAAGGACGATATGAGTACGCTTGCATACTCCAACACTTAAATATGACATGGTGAATTGAAATGCATCTCATCATGATCAAAGTGCAATGCGGCTTGCAATTCTCAGATATTTATTAATATGACTCATAAGAGTTTGCGCATTTTAGCGTGTTCTTTTTTTAACCTTCGCAATTCCAGTTCTCTGTGTGATAAGCGGTTCTTTTAAGTGTAGTATCAAGAGAAACGCATTGTCATAAAAATATACAAAGTTGTCGAAAGCGAATAGTTTTAGCAAACTATTAGTATGTATTATAGTGGTTTTGATATTAATATGTGCCACCCTACTACAATTATATTTCTGTCTACTACAGTCTACTGATACTAAGGTCCTCAAGTCGTATATAGTAGTTGTTGATTGGTGTTTACGTTGTATTACAAGATTCAAACATAATAGCGGCTCGTGTGAATCCAAGCGTATGTCTCGTGCATAATTGAGGTACTATAAAATTGTAGATGTAGGTACCTGGAATCCAGTGTGGAGTTGAGCCGTTGCGAGCGTCGCAGCGGTGTGTTACGCACCGCGCTCACCGGCTCCTCCCAGCTGCCGCCCGCGGAACGGTGCTCATCTGAAACGTACATTTTCTTTATGTATTCATATACAAATAGACTAAAGTATTCTTCTGACATCAAGAGATACACATTTTAGTAACGATGAACCAACCAGAGTGTGGCAGTTAAACCATGTTTTTGAGTTATAGCACAGATAATTTTTAACAAATTAAAATCTTAAGTCTTCCATACTTATGAAATTGATACCTAAGATACGTTACATTTGGAAATTTATTTTAAGCTACAAAAGGACACAATAGATTCTTTTGAATAGAAGGTTTTTAACTTCAAATTAAATTATGACAAAACATATTTAACCTTATATTGGGTATTTTTAAACATATATTTTGTAATGACGTTGGAATGTGGCTGATGCTGGATGCATTCTCACGTGTTATTAACTACAAGCGCTCCGAGAAAATTACGAACTGAGGAATTTTTTTTTCTAGCATCTGTGTAATTGCGCAAAGATTTATGAAAACAAGACCGTGAAAAAGTTTTACTACTTCTTGCAATATCTATTCATTTAGCGTACAACAAAAATAAACAGCGTTGTGTCGGTACATATGGTTGTAGACATCAGGATACGAGTTGATTGGAAGAGCATTTGTGGCTCGTCGTATACTTAGAAGTAGTTAAATAAGTCAGCCAGACGCCAAGACTTTAAAATCTAATTTAGTACCACCGTTTTTTAATAGAATTAAAGGAATCATTGTTTAACTAATGCAATAAATTCATTCATTCATAGTCCAATAAATTGATAGATAAAATTTAATTAGCGTTCAACATTAACATAAACCTAATACTTTATCTGATATGGCGATGATGAAACAACTGAAACGGTATGAGACTGTGACAGTTGCTAAATCGGAACATTCAAATCGCAATTGAGAAACGCGCGCGACGGTCCAGCGCCCTTCACCGCATGCAAACATGCAACGCTTTCAGTAAAAACCGACTGGAATCTGAACATTGTTTATATAGTCATTTGGCACGAAAGATAAAACGAAATTTATTCGACGGCCTTAGTGTAAAATAAGCTAAGGCCGTAGTTACATTGACGTCGATTTGATTTTGCACAGACGCTATAATTTTACCTGACTGACTCAGGAAGGTATGTTTTTATATATCTGAGTTTGCATATAATTTCTAAACGACTGAACAGATTTGAAAAAGTGAAGTGACATTTGATTCGTAATTTCGTCCTGTCAGTTTTATCATTAAATAGGCTATATCACGAAATAAAAGTGCTTTGTATCCAATAATAGAAAAGATCTCTAACATTATTATTATTACTATCTTCCGTAAATATTTGTGTACTAATTATAAACCTGTTGAAGTTTTATCGCCTGCAAACAATTACTAAGAACAAGAGTTTGATCTAATTTCTTGGAGTAATTTAAGGAATGCTGATGTTTGATTTAAAAATAATCCATCATCACTTGTTGACAAGAATGCAGGTGACGTGCGAAATAGAACTAAAACGCAGAATAAAACAACTGAACTTTGGTTTTGGGGATTTTTTAAAAGAAAACTGAGGATTGTGAATTTAAGATGTCTTGTTTAGTCATTAACACAAGGTTATTAGACCTGAGGATGGAATCTGCGATTCTGTTTGTGTAAGTTAAACCTACAAAAATGTAACACAAGGATACTAAATCGGTTTTACAGTTCAAACGTCGACACTACTAATTTGCTTAAGATTTTACCTACAATTTCAGCAATAATCTGTCAGGCAACTGATTATTAAAATAAATTTACATTATCAATAACACGTTGCAGGCCTTTTGATTTATAAGCGATTGACCCAAAACTCATTCAGTGACTGACATGAACACTGGAAATTAGTTTATTCTATACGCATTTACGTTTGGCTTAAATCCAAACCACGCGCGACTGAACATTAAATCCAGAAAGGTTTCAATGCCTATCAGTCAATAAGTATTTATCTTATGAAATCCTTCGTAAAATTAAAGATTTTGATAGCAGAGAACATTTCTGTACGTACGTTTGTGAACCTTGTATCAAAGGTCAAGTCCAAAATTTAATAGAAAAAAAGTGTCACGAATTACATCATCGATAAGAATTCAAATATGCGGCGATCGCAAAACTAGCTACTAGAGCCATACAAATGCTATTAAAAATCAAAGTAATTTGGTGAACGTTGGTTACATATAAAAAGGCCCACACGCTGTGGCGCAAGCCGGCTTAATGGATGTTATCAATTACACTAGAAATGTCGTTCTATGAAATTGTGTAATATTGCTCTCAACAGAGAACAAATTAAGTGATTAGAGACCTTGAAGTCACGAGTGGGCGTCGAGGCGACCACGTTTCTGCATGGGATATCACACGATACACCAATTAAATTGGTACAAGCAATTTTAATCCTTACGACAATATAAAGACGTCATAATATCGCGTACAATACATTTGACTTTCAGTATACGGAATAACTTAAAATTATCAGGACCCAACCGCCAAAGAATACATACTTATTTTTCCTTTCTTTATCAATTTATGTTTGAACTTGGTTATTTTATCAGTCTTCTTGGATTGCTTCATATTTTTCACTATAAAACTTCACAATTCACTCAGAGCACTTAAAGAACATGGTAACGGTACATTTTAAAACACTAATCTTACTTTGTTGGTATCATATTACGTAGAACATGTTAATAGCACGTATAAATTAAATAATAATTATTATAAACACTGGCACATGTATACTCATCACAAAGTTGTAACGCACACTGACGCAAGCTAAGCTTCACAACGTATTTGATAATAATTTTCGTTGATTGTGTTGGTGTGACGGAGGACTAATATCAGGTTAATGACCCAAACAAAAACCAACCCATCCTCTGTATCCGAGTTTTATTTTTGCAAATTTATTTAAGTGATAAGCTCCCTTTTTTAAATAAGATACAATTAAAATACATTATAAGATGTTTCTTACTTCTTGATACTTGCTCTTTTAACAACACAATAAATTTTCGCATTTCTTAATTGCAAAGACAAACATTCATAAATTAGTTAATTGGCCATCTACAAAACTTAATATTATTGTAACAGAGAAGTAAATATAAGTATCATTAAGTTTCCAAACAAAAATAGATACAGAGGAGTACATTTTTTTTTGTCAATAAAGAAGCCAGGGCTATGGTAACTAGTCCTGTCTGATCTATTATTATTCTCAATAGATTCAAAATATTACAAACTCAGTAGATTGTAAACTGATATAAAACAACGTCTTGTATGAAATCGGTTGTATGAATATAGAAAATGTATGCTTTTAAGCATAATAATGATAGACAAAATGGCACAGAAGCGAACACTATTTTCGTGATCTAGGCAACTAAATGTGAGCCGATAACCTGATTAGATGGCGCAGTGAACTATCGCTGATAAAAGCGAAACAGGTCCATAATAAGAATCGATTTATGGGCGGTCAGTACCAGAGGCAATGATCACGGTACTGTATAACAAGATTCAAGCATCACGTCGGCTCGTGGTTAACTACAAGCGCATCACAGGTTTGTGCCAGTTAGGCTTATTGCATAGAATAACGCGCTTAGAGGTGTGCCCCGCACTTGCATTTCCTTACCGCTGGCCTAGGTTTATACCTTTTGCGTAGCACTACGAGCAAAATCGCGAGCGACCACAAAGTTTGAATGGCACTATATCAAAGCCAAAGAGATCACAGCTGCCGCCCGGCACGCCCCGTCAGTCATGCAACTATTGTTCCAACCAGAGGACAGTGACGCTCAAACTATTAGTTTATATCTTTTAAGCAGCTGTTTTTCGCAAACTCGTTCGAACAGAAAAAAAAGTTCAACTTGTCAACAAAAAATATTAGTAGGAATAAACGCAACCTAATTACTTTAGAAAACCGTAAGCAAAGGTTTAGAAAATTTCAGTATTTTTATATTTTCTTCTATTCGTATCTTCAAAGTAAAATTATATCGATAATAATCTTTTCAACTAAAGGATGCAGCGACTAAAAACCTGTGTATAACAAAATCTTTAAAATTATGGTTTATTCGCATCAACACTTAAACAAGCTTTATGCTGAGCTATAAAAACATTTCGGGCTTCTGATCGTGTAGTATTTTTAGTAACGACCATATAAAATTATTCACAAATATTTATCTGGTTTAACAACTTGTTTGAGAATCGTTATAGCAGATGTTATGATTCATACCACTATAATATAAATTGTAGATAAAGCTTGCAAATAGGGCGTTACGAGAACACAATCGTTCATATTTAAACGACTGACATAATTCCTTAAACGAATACAGTACATAAATGTGGACATGCATCTATATGTGTATCTTTGAACAGAATGAGAACATTTGAAACTATTAAAATTATCATTATGATCTTTATACGCCCTGGTGTCAACTTCTCCAAATTTCTTCCTCTTTAAATATACTAGTACGACATAGAATTAAGACGTTTCAATTGACGTTTGCTTTAGGCATACAGGTTTATTCTTTTTATAATAATAATGTTTTGAGGTTACAAAAGACAGCATTGGCCAAAAAAGACGAAATATCTGAGCGGGCGCAGATATTCTTTATTTCAAATATCTTGGCGGCTCAAACAATTTTAGGTTTAGCCGAGCATAACGAGATGCGGGGGGAGGCCAGTGAGCAGCACGATGACCTTCAGCCTCCAAGTTATTTGAAAAGTATTGTACATTACAAGTGAAATCTAGCTTAGATAATGCTTTTTCCAATTGCCTGAAACCGATTTAAAAATTAAATAGAAAACCTACAGGCAAGGAATTAAGACACGCGGGGAATTTCAAGAACACGTTATGCAAATGTAGGAATTCTAATGGAAATAACGTACAGAGGTCATCGAATTAACACAAACACATCGTCAATACGTCACGACGTTAAGTTTACAGAATTTGTCCTGACTAACGGTTGCCGGCAAACCGCAATGACTGAGAAGTGGAACTTTTGAGAAGTGGTTACGAAATTCCGGTTATTTTATTGTTTTTTATGTAATCATATTCTTTAACAAGTTCATGTTTTTGTTAAGAGTGAGGTTGATGAATGACAACATACAGTTAAGCTGATTGTTATTCTGTTGATACGAGGTCTTATTAAGGCAGCCAAAATCTTTACCTTCTATCGTAATTCACTATTCAATTCAGCTAAGAGCACACTTCCTAACGGTAGGTTTTTGAGACTTTAAAACATATTGCTGTCTCTTTTTGTTAATGATCAGGGACGACGATATGATTAACGCAAAGATTTAGGTCTCAGAAATAACGGTAAGTCACTTATGTTCTCTTACAAAGATTTCGTAAATTTGTAAATATTATATTTGCCTGTTTAATTACAATGGATTTGTAATTTTAGATTCCCATCACATAAGCTTGTATTTTGTTATAATGACGTATTGAAACTTACTCGACGCTGGGGACAAAGCAATAGTTTATCATAAGTAGTAACTGCTTGCACAATATGCCTGTTACTTTAAACAGCTATAGATTAGCAGCTGCCATCAATTATAGATTCGTTAGCACAACTAGTGGCAAGTGGATAAGGGCAATGGGCTGATAGGAATTGTTCAAATACGTTTGTTCAGTTGGTTAAGACCGTCACTTATAATATTGTCGCTTGCCTATTGCCACACACGAACAGTTGTACATATAACAAACTGCCCACTTCCTCGCGTTTAAATTAACCCTTACGAAATCGAATTGTTACCACATGAGTATTGAATATGGTCTTATATATCTAGACTTATCGCTAAACATATTAGCCTTGAAATAATGTAAACGTGATAAAATTTGCAGAAATCAACGCCTACTAAATTTAACCATAAACCTACACCATTGTGTAATCTCAAATAGATTAGCCAATGGTTCTGGATTCGTGACGAAATAACGGGTTGAATACTATGAGAGCTATGAAAAGATCTCATTTATGAAGACCTCCTCGTATCAACTTTAGTTACATGTGGGTATGCACAAATAACATAAGCGATTTTTTTATCTCTGACGAAGCCCATTCACCTATACAGATATTTTATGAAATTATCATATATCACATTTCACTTATATCAAATATCGTAATTTCTTGATAAAAATTGATCTCGAAATGGATTTAAGAGCTGTGATTCATAAAGTTAAGGACAAACAATAGTTGTGGTCGATAAGATAACGTTGTTACATATTTATTATAAGTATTTAATTAAAAGTACATATAGGTATTATTTAAATGATTTCTTTTAAATTTTAAATTATTAAAGAAATTTACATATGCTCAGGAATCGCTGAGTCGAAGCTTAATTTATATTATCAAATTATTACACTGTTATATAAATGTCTTTAATAATTATAAATCAACCTACCGACGTCTTTAGCGGGTTCCTCGTTCGCCGGACACAATTCAACTTTGTTAACGATAATAACAAAAGTAAACTGCATTGTCACACAGCACTGATATAACAATCGATTTCAAACAAAATTCGCTAAACTTTTTCACATCGCGTCCACAAATTATATAGCACATCGTTCACACGTGCATCACACATCACAGCCGGTTCAAAACTAACAAGGATCAACATAATTGCTAACTGACTCTGTCAATTGTCATAGCCTAACACCTAGGGGAAAGAGTTTTAATATTTGGCGCGCTTCCAGCCTGTTATAATTCATTGCACGCGGTTAATTGTAAGTGTAGTGCCCTGCCGCGTAAATTGAGAGCGTCGGCGCAACGGGGGAACATTCGACGACGAATATAAACTGTCCCTTCTATTCCTGGTAGAGTCGTCGAGCGAGGTAATTACATAGAACACTATTCAATTTCATATCCTTTAGGATACTATCCGTTGCATAACATCATAATAAAAACAAAATAAAATTACATCAACAGAATCCTCGTTGTCTTATAAAGATACGCTTTATTAAAAAATATATAAGAGTTTGGAGCAAGCAACGAGCAGCGGGAACACCGAGGTGTTTTGAGGAGAAAAATCCTGAGGAAGTTAATGTTGTCACTTTAAGATTAACGCACAAGTCTACGGCATACGTAAACATGTATTAGTAGCAGAAAAGGCGCCTCGGTGATAAGCGGTAGATGACCGTCCGGGAAGGAAGTTATACTGCCACTTACAAGTGAAATAAGTTGTCAACTGTAACTTATTCGTACTAACGTAACAGGTAGTGAGATCATCGTCTTACTGGCAATGCCAACGGTATTTTTATCGTAGATAACTTACGAAAATGGACTTGGCACGCACAGTCCGCCATCGTTGTTTTATTGACAATTGTTTTCTTAACAACATAAACCTACGAAACGGTCTTCAGTTTGAAACTTTACTCTAACATTTAATACTTGTGTATGACCACATATACATTTAATAGATATTGAAACTAATAATAAAAAACGAGGTTATTTCAAACGACATCATCTTTAACAGATGACGCGGGCTATAATTTATAGTTTTTTTAAAGTCGAAAACGACCGTGAAGGTAAATGCTATTCGTGTTAGCATATTGATTAGCATTAGTAAACACGTTTACAGCCAGCATTTATTTTCTAGTCTCGTAAAACATCTCAGAGCCTAGAAGTTACGTATTTTGAAATATGCAGTAAAAAGAAAGTTACGATGATGTAATATCTGATCTACAGTTTCATTTTAGTCGTAAAAAAAAGAATTAAAATTGAAGTTTCGCATTAATACTGTACGGTGCTAATAAACATGCATTGCACGAGACATTACTTCAGGCAGATGTTTGTATTACGAGTATTAGCGGGGGCAAATTGATAGCCGTTGACGCAGTGCTGGAGAGTAATCCAAAAATACACCGTACAAACGTACTAATGCAGACTTCGTGCCATTCTATTGGCGCAAAGCAGTTTGAACACGAGTCTACTACTATTATAACGCAATTTAATTAGAAATTAGCTGACTATTTCCTAGTTAAAGAAAAAAACTTACGTCCATTGCATTCAGAATGGAAGGCAGTAATCGAATCATTTCCATGTCCAAATATCTCTCCTGTTTCTTCCATATTCTTTTATTTTATCCATTAAAGTTTTTCAATCACCACAGACCACCACACTCTTCAATCACGATATTTTCTTTCTGATCACACGACTCTCCTATCATGTTATTGGAACAATGTTCACACTCAAAGCAGATTCATAACATCCCCAATAACCAGATTTGTTTATAATAACATCGTCTTAAATACACGAAATTAAAACTAACCAAAAGCATTCTAGTGAAGTAACAAAAGATAATAGACACAATTGACATTTATCAATAAGGCTAAATCCATATGAATACGAAAATTTCGAAAAGCAAATCAGCAGTAACCTTTGACTCGCTATTGAAAATAATAATGGTAGGGAAATGTCCTAATCGGAACAATGCACAATCGGGTTGGCGATCGCAGAGGCTGGTACTTTGCCCCGGTGACGTCGCAGACTGCCACAGGCCTTGAAATTATACTAGGCTTTCTCAATTTACCTATTATACAAAATGTTTTGACGCATTGGTTGCTTATACATTCAGGGTTGGACAATTCTGCATTTTCTTCTATACTAATTAAATTTGATTTTTTCAGTAAGAATTTTCGACGACGGAAGTAGAAATGGTTTAATTAATAACATAGAGTAACCTTCAAGAGATGCTTTTATCTCACGGCCAAGATTAATGTTATGTCTTCTTCATAAGTAAGATTAATATTATTATATAAATATTACATACATTTATTACAATTCTTTTTCTCTTTTTTAATTTGTCAAGGATATTTAGTTCTTGGCATGGACCAAAAAAAACTAGAAGCGCCACTCTTGTGAAAAGGTTTGTCGGTTAGTACGTTGTTTATAAGACCATCTGTCGATTCTGACGACTTGAGATTTTTTGCCATACCCTGATGTCAGTTATTATATCGAACAACGGAAGCAGTAGAGTAGAAGTAATAAAAAAAATGAAAAAATAGGCACAGAAATAGCTATCGTGTGAAATAAGGAGACTACACATGTCGGATACTGCACATAGGAATTACTATTTAAGAAACGCCATTTTATATTACGCAGAGTTTTACAGATATATAATTAAATTGAAATAAGCACTAATTTGGTACTGGCTGTTTTGAAATGATACGACAGAGGGAGATATGGGTTTTAATTTTTTTTATAAACAATCACACTTTCTAACTGTTCAAATTACCCTTAAATTCAACTTAACCATAAATTTCTTTTTACAACTTGTGTCAACCCTATAGTCTCTAATTTATCACCAACCTTGAGCTAATTTCAATAATGATAAATAATGAAAATAAAAAGTAGAATACAGTCAATGGTTATAGCAACGTTAAAGAGACCAACATTATTCTGCTGTAGTTTTTTAGGGTTAATAGTACAGTTATGAACCTTCCAACCTTTATGTGCAAACTTTCAACTTATAACCGATGTGTATGGGCATTTGCTACTTTTGTCTTTTAGATATACCAAGTGACCACTTAGTCGTTTGACGCCTTATGTTATAAAAAAATTGTTAAATTAACTTACATTTGATGAGCACGACAGAGTCGTGGGGCTCGCATTGGACCTGGGTGGCGTTCATGGTCAGCAGCCCTCCGCTGCCGACCCCGCCACCCGTACCGTTCGCCTCCCTACAAAAATAAAGAGTATTAACAACTAATAATAACAACAACATAGAATATAATTTACCTACTGTGAAGAATATTTATTCTCCATATGTTATTAAACACATTCCATTAAGTACTTCGGTTTTTCTCTATAAAACTGAATTAACCAGGCTAGTTATTAGCACTGAATGTGTTAATTAATTGAAAAATTTATAATATAATAATCGAAATTAAAATGGCTTAATACTAGTTGACATTTAATCAAAATGTGTGCTACATTGCATATCAATTAAAAACATGTGACTCTTATTTATTTAGGATTTCATCATAACTTGTTTAGACCTGTTTTTATTTCTATTTTAACTCATCCTCATGACCTTTAGTTTACGCATATTAGGTTGCATCCTTACAAAGCTATGAAGCCATACAAAATATTTTAAATTTATGTCAAGGGTATCTTAGACCCAATGTCAATATTTAAATAATTATCAAATGTAAACAATAAAGCCACACAGTTCATGTTAAATAAGTAGTAAGCAAAAAGACCTTTTCTCATAAAAACTTCAATTAAAATAACTAAGACGGAGAACAATCAATTGAAGAAAATGTATCAAATTATATCTTACTTTTCTAAATTGGTTATTTAGGCTACAATATAACAGAATAAAATGGTATAATTTAAAGTAAAGCTTAAGCAATTATAACATTTTCTTTAACATTAATTCAGCAAGAACAAATATTATTTTTTTTCCTCTTTAGGATAAAGAATATTTTCATTTATTTAGTTACCAATCTCTACACTTAAATATAAATGATTCAGTTACTTTATTTCATAAACTTTAGCAAACAATGTTTTTGATATGGGAAAGTAAAATACAATTTGCTTGACAATCAACAACTGACTACACAAACAAACATGATTGAATAAAAGTGATTATGTTGCAAATGTGTATCTAAAATCAAATGATTTTTTTTTGTTTTCATACAAAAATGTATATAAATTTACACTACTAGAAAACTTGTTTTAAAATATATTATACCGATTCTCCTATCAATAGACTGAAAAAATAGGGCCTACATATAACTCTGGGAAACAGTAAATTATTGCTATGTTTAAAAAAAATAATAAACAGGATACCAATAATGTTTTTATACAAGTGTTATAATATTACTAACTATTCTATTTAAGTATTTCATCTTGGCACAAAAGGAAAATGCAGTTAATGTTTAATGTACGCTAGGTTGAGAAACCAAATATTTTGATACTTTTTATCTGACAAGCTTTTATGAATGCTTTTAATGGAACACTAAAATGGGCCATGCCACAAACATGGAAGGGTGTCTATTTTTATACAAATTAAGCTGCAACATATGGCCTAATTGTAAAACAAAAAAATATTATGTTTACAAATTGTATGGTTCAATTTTTTAAATGCTAACAGTTGAAATATGCTCTCTCTATTATATAATTTATTTTGAGGTAGAAATGACCTTCACAGATTGTTATCGAAATTAATGCAACAAAAGCTGAAGAGAACCTACTATTTATTCTGAATATAATTGATAATTAGTTAATTGACTTTAAAAATTCTTTTACCTTTTTTAGTTTTTCTATCAATCAAAGTTAAGCCAAGGCATTTCATTCAGCAAATACCCATGAAATTGTAAAAATTACTTTTCACTAAAGCTTATTTGGACATACATGCTATAAATAAATAGCATCTATTGATTAAAACAACTTTAAAAAATTGCAATTAAATATTGTTTATTATAATCTATAATTCATTAATTAAAAACGGGGAAAATATATGACCATTTCTTTTACTATTATTTTATGTAATATAATAAAAAGGCTTAATGTCACTAATTTTTATGTTAATTTAATGATTACTTAATCATTCAGCTTGATAGTAATTCTGTTTTCTTACCACATTATTCATTAAATTTTTAGCAAAGATTTTACTATAAATATTAATAAAATTAGGTACCATATAATTGTAGGCAACATTAACAGCTATTTATATAACACTAATCCACCAAAAATACTCTTCAATATTGATTAAGAAATAGGTCAGTAAAGCTATTACACAATCAAAACAACTGTACAATCCAAGTTCCTAAAGAATCTCAACAAACAATATGTTTAATTTACTTAGAAATAAGGTAGCAACATGCCTCAGTCAGCTAACCGTTATAGGTATGGATGTGTACGACTCTGGGAATTTCACAAAAGATAAACATCACTTTACTTGACATCTGACACTTGATACTTGATTCTGGACACTAGTGAACACTGGTCAAGCTATAGTTGACATAGTTTTAGGTCAAAGTACGATGAACTTGAGCGCGCTTTACTCACCGTAAAATGCTTAATGCCGGCACTTGCCTCCCTGTGGAATGCGTGCAGGCAGGGCCCGCATTCGCTAGGAAAGCATTACCCACTGTTTTATGCACGATTCAAAAGTTTCCTTAACGGAAACCGGCTACGACAACAATCACTAATCACACTGCTAAGTCTACGTCTAATAATTTTGCAGGAACGTACAAAAATAGCACCAATCTCGTTTTATTCACAGGACAGACAAAAGGCACTGGTATCCAAGTAACACTATGAATAACGACACTGGAAACGTCCGAATGATTTTGCCTCTATTCAAATAATTTAACAATGACATTTGTGAATTATTTAGCACACGCGCATTTAACCTTGTCTTTGTTATTATGTTTATAAAACTAGAGAAAATAAGAAAGGAACGTCAATCGCACAACAATATCCGAAAAACACAAGTAAGCAAGACGAACGCGCAGCTGGCTAGCTGTCGCCTCTCGCTCGGCGGCGGCGGTGCGGGGTCGGGTCGAGCGGGTGTGGAACGGCGCCGGCACGCGGGTAGAGGGGACTGATCCAACTGCCCCGCTCGCCGCCTTCCCGTTCCCGCTTCGCATCGCAACTCATTTTCATTATTACATTACGTTCATTTTATTTTATTTCAAAGTTTTGAGCGTTCACAATCCCATTGCGACGAACTTTACGCTGGCGAAAATAACAGGTGGTTCAATATTTAAGTAGGTATATTTTCCATCACTTTGATGGGATCAAAAAAGAAAATGACACATATTTTCGTAAATGTCATTAAGTTTTGAATTTGCAGATAGATTCTCAAAAGCTCCATAGATATTACTATACAGTGAGCTTTTACATACATTTATATATTCAATACTACTGTTTTAAGCATTTTGATTGCAAAAGTAAAGAACTATCAGAGATATAAAATACTATGAATAATTCTGTTCAGGATTTTTAGGTATACCTAGTATACGCATTGGTTTACAACCTCAGGTAAACTCGTATAACGAGACATACCGATGATAATGCTCTCGCCTGCGTTGGCTTCAGCGATCATTGATACGGACTACGGAGGAACGAGTCTACTGGAACGCGGCGTGCGCGAATGTTAATACAAACAAGCAGCTGACTGGCATCGGACGACTGATGAAAGCCCGCGCACCATTCGCCTTCGGAAATCTCGGTGAATATTCTGTATTTTCAACAAAATCCATTTTCACACGACACACTTTCATTCAATTTTCGTGAAAGTGATCCATCGGAGGTTTACCGATGGCTACGTACTACGTTTCTCCATATCATTGTGAATAGTAGTAGGGACTTTTGCAGCCACCCCTGTAATTACGGCCACTTTGCCGGCAGATGAGTAAATGCTTGAGATTCTGGGTTGTGGGGAAAGTGAAGTGTTAATGCGACAACTTGATCATAGTGTATCGTCCACGAGTCGTGAACCGGGAAGGGTTTCGGCGAACACAGCATCTGACCTCGTGTTAAACAATTTTCTGAGTAATTGGCTATTATTTTAGCAACAAAATAACATTTGGCAAAAGTTAACAAGGGAGATTTTGAGCTAAAGATTATGATGTACCTGTTTACGACATGTTTTGTTTTTGACTTATAGATATTTTCTGTTTACTAAACGACCCATCTACTTTATTATATGAACAACCGGAAATGCGGTGCGGGTAGGGACCTTGAGAACAAATGATGCAGAACCGGAAATGTCTATTCCACAATATTTCGTGTTCTAATTTAGAGTTTTTATTGAAGTTCAAAAAGTGCGAGGGAATAAAATAAAACACAATTTTAGCTTGTAATTTGAAATAATGCAAGTACAATATGAGGTAAAATATTTTGCGTTAGTACCGTGTTCTGGACTGGGTACATTATACAGATTATATTAGACAGTTTGAATACGAATAGTATTCCAATGTTGTGTTTCACAATACCTTTATTTGCAGTTCAAACGGATGTCCTTTCTATTTTGGTCCAAGGATAAATGTGCACCGTACCTTGCATTGTTGGCATTCTTTACAATTTTCAAACTAGAAATTAACATTTCATAAACGCAAAAAATAAATCGTTATGACGGAAATTCTTCCCGATACCAAACGGTTTATTTAGCAAACTTCTTTATTAAGTAACAGATAATAGTTTTATTATTGTATAATAGTTAATTTTATCATTTAGGTCTAAGCTGAAGTAAGGAGATGTAAATACAATCATTCCTAATAGTCGAGTATAGGATAATGTTGTCATGATTTAACAGCGAAATAATTAATAAAAAATATTAAACTAATAACTGAATCCAATAATCGATTGCATTTAATTTCAAAAAACCATCTGAGTTTTGTTTAAAAGTAAATGAGGTCTTAAAAGGTCACTTTCATCTACCTGCGCAGTATCACACAAAAACAATTCGTTTGGACCTTACTCAGGTAAAGGTAGCAGGAACAGCTGTTCGAGTCTTCATTTAACTAATCTATCACCCTGTAGGTAACAGATGTATAGAATATAATAGCTGACCACATAAAAAGTAAGGAACAATTATTCTTTCAAGTTTAACAATTAGAAACACAATAGAATTAAAATGCAGTTTTTTGCAGTGTAAAAGGAAGTGAAATTTTGTATAAATTTTACGATACCAAATAACAAATACACTGGACTTAACTTTATGTATTTTTATAAATAAGCATCTAATTCCTAATACTAAATAATAGAAAAAAAATCATAACCTGGATGATATTTACATGTCAAAAGGCGCGTCAGTGTGGCTCCCTACAGAACGCGCCTCGCTCAAAATATCACTTCGTCCTGGCAACTTCCGCCGATTCATCGCGAACAACTCACCCATTGCTCATTGAGTTTTTGTCATACTCGTACATTCACTACTCTATGTTATGAATATTACAAACCAATTTATTGGTTATTAATCGTTATTAAGTAATCGTTTTTATTGCTATCTAAATTGTCACTTAAATGCAGTCATTATTTAAGTAAGTGTCAATTAATTTGGAATGAGTAGAGATAATTTTAGCTAGTTATTATCTTAATAAAAGATAATCTCAATCAATGAACGACCTGTTTGGGGTTAATCGTTTATACACATGTTATGCTTCGGTAGTATGTTTACATTTTACGGAATGCGTTTTGTTTTCGTCTTTTCATTGTCCAATCATAATAAGCATTCAGTATATTCATCGTGTGGGTTCTTGTCAATAAAGACAATGTATAATTTGTACAAATAGAGAACGAGGCAAGTAGATCCTATGACCAACCGTCGTTACCTTTACCTCTGGGTTCCATTAAATACATGCTGAAAGGTGTATTGCCATCTCTATAATTTCATTTAAAAAAACAGGGATAACTATATGTTTAGAAAAATTAGTTCGCAGTGGAAATGTACAATAACATAAATAATGTAAGGTTCCTAACTCGTTAGTTAGAAAATACCGCTTGTGATATTTAATTCAAAGAAACACGCGAACTCTGCAAAATGCGTGAATCACGCGAAATACACACAGTTGCTTGAATATTTTAGTCAAGATAGTGTGTATGGAATTCGAAATTTCGTAGCGATGAACTTTAGATTCCACGGAACGGCTGCCACTAAATAAAATTAAAAAGTTTAAATTATTATCTCGCTCAACTTTAAATCCTCAAAAAATTCGTTAGGTATTTAAGCTTATCAAAATAACTTTAACCAATGTGAGTAAACTCACATTGTAGGTACCAAGTAGATATTCATAGGCGTCGTCAAGAGAGTAAGGGGAGGTGTGGAGCGGGGGAGAGGCAACTGGCCTTTAAAATAAAAAAAAGAATGTTTACAATTCCCACCTCTTTAACACAGACACCATGTAAGCTAGGGCTTACACTTTCTATTCATAAACTTTTTTTGATTTACGTCCTTACGTCCTGTTCATTCATGATTTCCATGTTCAATGTAAATCGGCGGTACATTCAAACAATTTGAACCGGATACTTTCGAATCACTCAACCAATTAAAGGGGCATTAGCGAATTGAATAATATGTATCGGTCATAGGGTATTGTTATGGTTCGGGCTGACAGCACGGCCCATTTACTTCGCGTTATCAATCAGTAACGCCGGCGCTGCGGCCACAGGTCAATGCACTATGTTATTGTTGGTATAAGACGCCTTATCTTTTCACTTAAGCCGACTTTACATATACTAACTACACCTCATTCATAACAAAGATAACAGGGCACAATCTTCATAAGCTCTTAAAACATAACAGTAGGTGTTAACTACCACAGATTATCTAAAACTACGAGGATAATAATCTTTATCCGCTTTTTCTTGTAACTAATGTTTTGCTTTGTTTATAAGTGCTAGAAACGCAAAGCTTCTTTTACTATAACAGTGGAATTAAGATTATGAAATTTAATACTTAATTTTTAGGCATTTATATGCTTAGTTTGACAGCATGAAAAGCCTACTTGCTATATCTCCATGTCGAATAGACCGTTGCATCATTGTACTTATATATTATACTCATATATGTATATGTTTTAAAAACATTCACCACGTTTGTATGTGATTCATAAAATACAAGGCTGTTGATATTATATTTTTATAGACACCAAGTTCACTAAATAAACTTTGTGTAGGATTTATTGTGCAACTGTTTGTGATGAATGTATTTGTATATATCTAAGTTCAGAATATTTATATTTGTAAATTTATTTTAAAATAGCATCCATCTTTGTACTTTTTAATCGACTTCAAAAAGGGTGAGGTTCTCAAGTTGTCTGTATGTTTTCATTTAAAAAAGCCTTATCTACTCCCGTTCAAATAAGCAACTCTCTCGTCCGAAACGGTTCAGACGAAAATATTAATCTCGAAATATAATTTTCATTTGTAATACTTCAATTTTATTCTATATTTCTAATTGAAAAAAAAATTGTAGCGTATGTGTTCTTCCAGACTATGTTCTACAAGGATACCAAATTTCATCGAGATCCGTTGAGGTGTTCTGGAGATACCTTGAAACAAACATCCATCCATCCATCTAAACTTTCGCATTTATAATATTAGTAAGATTAAGGCTAATTAAGATTAATTAAATAATCACGCATTAGACATCTAAATTAATGAATAAACAAGTTTGATGAAATAATTAGGAATTAACCGTCACTTAGTAGTTACATTAAAAATATACAAATAATTAGTATTCATGTGAAAGTAAAAAAATGTATCCGTACTTCATTAACTTGAATAATATTAAAAACACAAAATGACTAACGTGTGCGAAGAAAGTTACGATGTTTTACGTAACCGCGTCGTAGGCTGATTGAACGCGTGTAATAGCTGGTATTAATTTTCTTATTAATGTGTTATATAATATGCAATAATTATTTCAAGTAATCAATTACATGTTTCACATGTTTCATTAACTTTGTACACGGAATATAAAAATTCATATTTAGATATGTTTTTCGTGTAAATAATGCCCATTTCCACTAGACGTATAACCGCGCAGATTCGCGGCCGCACCAGTGGAGCCATACAAAAATGCATTTGGAAATTGAAGCTTAAATCTAACTCTTCTAACACATCATAAATCATCTAAGAAATATGGAAATATGACTTTAATGAAGTTGATTTACAAAACAAGAGATGGTCATAAATACAATGTTTAACGACAATCA